CCCAGTGCCAGGGTTGTTTTCATTGATTTGTCTTGGGTTGTGTGCCCGTCTGCAACTTCTCACTGATGCCAGAGGCATGGGTGCTCTGATTGGCCAAGCGTTTTCTTGGCATGGAGGGGATGAGCTCTGTTGGGGTTACACGGACTCAGAACTGAGAGGGAAGACAGTCAGTGGGCAAAGTGCTGGCTGGCAAGCATGAGTTTGGTCTTTGACTTCTCTACATTTTTCATGTGGGCATACGTGTTTACCCAGGCATGCAGCGTGTTTGCACACATGTGGGGGTGCATGTGCACTGGTGTGCATGCATGTGGAAGCCCCCGGTTGATGTCAGAACTCACCCTCAATGGCACTTTCACCTTATTCACTGAGGCAGGGTCTCTCAATCAAACCCAGAGCTCACCGACATGGCACCTCTCAGTAGCCAGCTGCTCTGCCTTGGAAGGCCTTGGCCCACCCAGCATTTCCATGGGTTCTGGGAATTCAAAGTCCAATCCTCACATTTGTGAGGCAGGAGCTTTAACTCCTGAGCTGTCTCCCCAGCCCTGAAGATGTGGGTTTGATCCGCAGAATCCTCAGGATGGCAAGTGCCCTGAGGAGGTGGTGATGGAGGCCCTGAGGTGCCATTAGAGTAGTGACACAGGTCAGTCCTCTCTCTGTCCATGACAGCCACTGGCAATGGGACAACTGGAAGAAGTGTCATTAGAACTCTGTTACCATGACAACCTCTCTGTAAATCCAAACGTATGTCAAAAAAAAAAAAAAAAAAAAAAAAAAAAAAGGCTGGTGTGCATATGTGTGTGTTCGTGTGTATGTGTTCATGCGTGTGTCACTGTATAGAGAGTAGAGGGTGATGTCAACCTTATAGGTATATTTGCATGCAGCTACCAAACCCCCTTGCTCTGAGGACTTGGTGGCCCCGAGGGGTCCCAGCCAGGCATCCTGGAGACTGTCCCCTAGTCTGAATGCACCAGGGTCAGAGCTGTCAGAAGGCCCTGACAGACCAAGGTAAAATGTCCTCCTTGCTCCATTCTCTCAGAGGCTCCCGTTGTCTGCCGACGACACCCATAGTTGTCTCCTTCTCACTGGATGAGGGCATTGCCTAGCAGGTTTCTCTGTGGTAGAGTCAGTTTCCACTCCAGAGAAACAACTAGCAAGTCATTAGTTTTAATTCAGCCTCCACGGGAGACCTGTGCCACCTCTGGGCAAGCATATCCCACAGGGAACTCCCCCACAGCTGTTTATTTTAATCAGTTTATTTTAATCAGTATATAGGAGGACAGGCTTCTGTCTACTTATTTTATACTTTGATTTATAACTGGCTGTCACTTATTTTGATGGCTTCAGAACATGTGTGGGGCGGATGGAAGCCAGAGGACAACCCCTGGTGTTAATCCTCAGAATGCTATCTCCCTTGTTTTGAAGCAGGGTCCCTCTCTCTCTCTCTCTCTCTCTCTCTCTCTCTCTCTCTCTCTCTCTCTCTCTCTCTCTCTCTCTCTCTCTCTCATTAATCTGGAGCTCACTGGGCGGGCTAGACTGGCTGGGCAGTGAGTCCTAGGGATCGTTCTGTCTCCACATTCCCGGTGCTAGGATTAGATTACAGGCGTGAACCAGCACGTCTGCCTTTTGTATGTGGATGTTAGGGTTCACCTCAAACCCTTGGGTTTACACACAGCAAGTCCTTTCCCAGCTGAGCCATCTCCCCAGACTGTCTTGTCTTTCTGGCACTCAAACCGGTCTAGCCTTGGCCACTGGGTGCTTTTCTCAGGCAGGATGTTTGTCTCTGCAACACGCCTAGTGTTTTTGTTTTGTTCTTCAGTGTGTCCCTGTTTTCTGCTATTGAAAGATGCAGAAGTGTATCTTCTTCCTGCCCCGGCCCCGGAATCAGCCAAACCACCTTTGCTTGCACCACTCTGCTTGGCCAAGTGTGAGTCCAGATGGGTCAACAGACACCATCAGTAAGTGCCAGGCACTATGCCAGGTGCTGGGCTCAGCCAGCGCTCAGCGCTCGGTCAGTCATTGTCTAATGAGTAGCTCTGGGGAAAAGGGAAGCCTGTGTGAATAGCATGGATGTTACTGATACACTGTACAGCACATCCCTTACAAACATAGTTACATAGGTGCTTGCTACTGTGACTCCTGGACACAAAGAGTCTCAGCAAATGTTGCCATCCCTACCCCAGCTCATGGTGAGTGAGTTTGTAACCCAAATCTTGGTGGGATCCATGCTTATGTTTATAGGTAAGACAAGAGTGAAATAAGATGTGTGACAGCGGAGGGGACCTCACGTGTCCATCAACTCCTAATAGACCTCTCTGCTGCTGGCTCGGATGCTGGCTCCCACATACTGGAAGACTGTGTCTGCTGTTCAAAATGTAGTGGCTGCAGATATGACACTTATGTGTATTGTTAATGTGGTGTCCAGTATTGTCTTGGGGGGGCAGAGTGTGAGTGGGTGTGGTATACACATGTGTGCAGGTACGCTCACTCATGCGTGTGGGAGCCAGAGGTTGACATTGGGTCTCTTCCTCCATCACTCTGAACCTTGGACAAGGTCATTCCCTGGACCTGGACCTCACTGTTTCAACCAGACCGACTGCCCAGTGAGCTGTGGGGATCTGTATTGCTGAAACCCTGTCTCAAAAAAAAAAGCAATTGAGGAAGACCAACCTCTGAACTCCATGCATGCACATTCACACAGGCAAATTCTCTCTCTCTCTCTCTCTCTCTCTCTCTCTCTCTCTCTCTCACACACACACACACACACACACACACACACACGCACAAAGGCTGTCATCCATCCCAAAGTGTTGTCAGGGTCTAGTGCAAGCTACATCCTACATCTTTGAGCTCTGTGGTGTTTGGGCACAGAAGACCCTAGGGTCCAGCCTGGTCTACTCTGCCCTGCTTTTGGAGCACATGCTCCTTGAACCAATCCTCAGTCACGCCACGAGATGCGACTGCTGGATACCTAGTCCCTCCCACTATGTAGCATGGGCGGGGGGGGGGTGCCCAGAACCCCCCAGATCCAGAGATGGGGAGTGAGTCCTGCCTGTGGTCTGGGAGGTGACATTGTCCCTCAGTACCCTTGCCGTTAAGTTAGTTCACCCGAGATGCATTCAGCCTGAATGTTCAGTAATCCAGTCAGAACAGTCTAGGAGAAGAAGAAAAAAAAAAAACCCCCACACACACACACAAAAACCTGAGGCTAGAGGGCCCAGCCAGGAACAGAACTCAGCCATATCCCCTTCCTGGAAACAGACTCAAAGTGGGTCAGTGGGCTAGTGTTCCTAGGTGACTCAGTTTCCCTGGACCCTTTCTCCTCTCTGGCTCTAAGTATCCTAGGATGCCCAGGATCCTGCCTCACACCAGGTCAGGCCCTGAGCAGGGGACAGCCTTCCTTTGATGGGGACATGGCAGATGAGATCTCAGTAAGCTCCAGTTTAGAAGTGCACCTCGTGGGTCTAGTGTTTAAAGAGAGGTGACAGCCTTGGAAATACAGGGGCCACAAAGCTCTCAGCAGAGCTTGGCGCTTGGGAAGTGGGATGGGTTTGCCCAGAGGGAGGAGAGAGCCAGGGGTAGGGCATGGGGACACACATTCACGCACACACAGAGGTAAGGGGGAAAGGGAGGAAGGGGGGATAGACACAGAGGACAGAGAGGGAAGTGGGGAGGGAGAGAGAGAGAGAGAGACAGAGAGAGGGAGGAGCTGTGCCATCTAGAGCCCTGGCCCTCTCCAGCGGTCCCTGAGCCTGGGTGACTCATCCAAGGGCTGCCGTGGGAATAGGTGAGCCCGGTGCAGCAGACCGCAGCCCTGTTGCCGTCATCACTGAATGACAAGGCATGGGGGGGGGGGAAGCTCATTACAAGTTCTGCGTCAGCTCCACACTGTGTGCCCCCAGAGGGACAGACTCTGACGTCTCCCCTGGGGGAAGGCTCCACTGAAGCAGCCACAGGTACCTTCATCAGGTTCCAGAATCCAGGTGTCTACGAAGCACCCGCTGGAACTGGGCATTCAGGAGGATGAAGGTGGATGAGGCAGCATCCCACACTGACCCACAGAGGGACCACAATGTGGATGGGAGAACTTGGACAGGGAGAGTCCCTGGAGCAGGCCTGACTCTCAGTGACCAGCTCACCCTTCCCTCCATGCCCCTGTTTGCACTGGTCCCAACATGCCTAGTGTCAGGCAACAGATACAGGGGTGAGTGAGAAGGGGAGAGGTCCAATTTCCTGCAGGGTGGCATCATACCAGTTCAGCTGCTCAGCGCGTGTCAAGGCTTGGGAGAAGTCACGTGTGAAAGTCTTGGATGAGGGTCCCAGGGTCGGGCGCTGGGATGGATCGTGGTGGGTGTGGATGGGTTAGAATAGTTTACTGACACCATGGACAGACAGAGAGACAGACAGCAGGATGGTATGGGCTCTGAGGAGAGTTCAGGCCCTGGAACCAGAGATTGACAGCAGGGTGGGGTCTCTGAAGAGAGGAATCAAGGCCCACAGGGCAAAAGCGAAGCCTCCTTTTACACATTCCCAAGGATGGGAAGGTTTCACGGCTCACACCTGCAGCCAGGCTCTCAGGTTCCCAGGCAGGAGGCAGGAAAGGGGTGGGGAACGGGATGGATGCTGCCAGTACCGCCTTTGATGTAAAGTGCCTTCAAGGTGAGAGACCTTGGTCCCTGGTGTCTGTCAGTGTCTGTGAGGGGGAGGAGGCCTGCAAGTGTTGAGGCCTGAACAGCAGCTTGATTCTCGCAAGTGTTTACAGCGTGATCTTGCCCGGCCTCAGCATCATCGGCATCGGTGCATTAAATGAGCAAATACGTGGGGGGGGGGGGTCTCTCGGCAGAGTAGGATGGTGACCTAGGGTCCCAGGGCTATGACTCTGCCCCAAACTTGAGGAGCATACAAAAAGGTTTCCTGGAGGGAATGGCTCACAAGCTGGGTCATGGGGCAAGCCACGCTGTGCCTGAACGCCACCTCCTCTGAGCCTATTGTGTTTCCTGCAGGTCTCCTGCCCATGGGTGAGGGGCTCAGCACCCTGGCCAATGCCGCAGCCACCTAGGGCCTCACAGCAGCCACACCAGTCACCCTCGCCACCCCACATGCCCTTCCACCAGGGCATCCAGCCACCATCAGTGCAGAGAAGTTGGTCACAGGGTTGCCCCAGGCCCACCATGGTCCCGCCTGCCCCTCACCAGCGGCCCATGAGTGCCAACGGGAAGATGTTTTCCTTTGTGATGGACCCCAAGTCCCCCGTCATCAAGCAAGGTATGTACCAGGAAATCCTGGAAAGGATTTAACACTGAGAAGATAGGTGGGTCTTGTTCTGCACTCTGACTCTACAAATGGACTGTGATTATAAAATGCATAATGGTGGGCAGGCAAGAGGGCTGAGTAGGTAAAGGGGCCTGCCACCAAGTCTGACAACCTGAATTTGATTCCCAGAGCCCACAAGGTGGAAGGAGGGAACTAACTCCTGCAAGCTGTCCTCTGACCTCCTCACACATGCTAGGGGGCGTGTACACAGAGTTTAAACGAAATGGGGGCGGTGCTGGAGAGATGGCTCAGAGGTTAAGAGCACTGGCTGCTCTTTCAGAGGTCCTGAGTTCAATTCCCAGCACACACATAGCAGCTCACAACCATTTCTAACTCAAGTTCCAGGGCATCTGACACACCCTAACCTTCTTCTGGCCTTCTTAGGCACAGTACTCATACACGGCCTGGGCATACACACAGGCAAAACACATCACATCAAATTAATAAGTCTGTAAAACGTTTTGAGTGGGGCAGTGGTAACACACACCTTTAATCCCAGAAGCAGGCAGAACTTTGTGAGTTCAAGGCTACCCTGGAGAGTTGGGCTCACAACCATCTATAATGAGATCTGGTGCCGTCTTCTGGCATACAGGCATACATGCAGGCAGAACACTGTATACATAATAGACAAACGAATCCTTAAAATAATTAAAATGTAAAAAACATGATTACGTAAACAAAGAAGGAAGGCTGGGGATGTAGTCACAGAGTGTTTGCCTAGTATGTAAGAAGGCCTTGAAGACTTGCATTGCACAAAACCAGACATAGTGTCATAGGAGGGCCAGAAGATCAAAGCCATTCTAGGGTACATGGTGCATCAAGGCTAGCCTGGGCTATATGAGAACCTTCTTAAGAAATAAAGCTGAGCATGGTGATGGACACCTTTAATCCCAGCACTCAGGATGCAGAAACAGGCAGATCTCTGTGAGTCTGAGGCCAGCCTGGTCTACACAGTGGGTTCCAGGACAGCCGGGGCTATATAAAAGGGAGGGAGGGAGGGAAAAATAATTAAAAATAAATAGAACATAAGGGATCAGCTGGAAACCAGCTGTGCACTTGTAACACCTGGATCCTCCTTCAAGTCCCTGTGTCTCCCAGACATCCCCAGAGCCTGAGTCCATGCTGCAGCCCCCTGTGAAGGTTGTGTGCATTTGTGCATGAGTGTTCACAGATGATCTGTGATTCCCTTTGTTGAAGATGAGCAGGGGTGTTGGAAACAGAAACCCATTTGCTCTGGGAAGCTGTAAAATGATCCGTTACTATAGCTCAGGTGAGACGAGAGTGAAGCTGACCAGGAAAAGTGCTTTCCCCGGAGGACAGGCGCGGCCACTCTAGTCTACCGATGTATGTCATCTCCACCACTGTCCTCTCACAGCTTTGTAGCCTGGAAACACACAGCCTTCGGGGTAGGGTCCCACTCTTATCCCAAGCCCTCCTCAAAAGTCTCCGGGTATTTGGGGATAGGACATTCTGTCCATTCCTGTCCTCTTGACCACAGTAGCCCTAGCCTAGAGTAGATGTCTATTCAGGCCTTGGGCACGGTCCCCAGGCTTCCTCCATGGTGACTTACGTGATCAAGGTTTTCCTCTTCTCTGCTTCTCCCATTTTCTTGGAGCTCTCCACTTCCGCCCCTGGCCTTGATCATGACCTATCACCTAGTCACCCTCCTCTGCCACTAAAGTTATAATTACCACTGTGAAATGTTGGGACCTCTAAGGCTGACGTCACCCTCATCGTCACCATCATCAAATGAGCCACCCAGGTTCTGGAAGCAGCCTATCATCCCCCAACAATTGAACTCAAACATTTTCAAACATGTGGAGTGGGTCCTGCTTGGAAGGCATAGGCAGGATGACCACAGGTTCAATGTCAGCTTTAGCTACAGTGTGGGTTCAAGGACACTTTGGGTGTCCTTGGGTAACTTAGCTGTAGACAGACTTTCCTTTGGGCCATCAGCTCACAAAAAACAACATGGAGACTTGTTATTAATTATGAAACCTTAGCCTATAGCTTAGGCTTGTACCACTAGCTCTTATAACTGAAGGAATGGGGAGGCAGAGACAGGAGACTGCTGGAACTCACTGGAAGACAGAATACCCAAACAGTGAGCTCCATGTTCAGCGAGACCCTGTCTCAAAAAATAAGATGGAGAATGGTAGAGAACTCACCCAGTGTCGACCTTTGGCCTCCACACACACCTGTACACATGTGCATACACACCCTCCCACAGGCATGTACACAGGAACACACAGGCATACACACAAACACAAATTAAAATAATAATAATAATAAAGGCTGGGCATGGTGGCACACACCTTTAATTCCAGCACCCCGGAAGCAAAGGCAGGTGGCTCTCTGTGAGTTTGAGGCCAACCTGATCTACAGAGTGAGTTCTAGGACAGCCAGGGTTACATCGTGAGACACTGTTTGAATAATGATAACAACAACAACAACAAAGCCAGGGAAAATGTAAACCACAGAGCCCAATGTACGGCTTCTGCATGCAATCCCAGCATTCAGAAGGCTAAGGCTGGAAGACTGCAGAGATTTTGGAGCCACCATGTATTACATGGTGAGTCTGGGGCAGCTTGGGCTATATAAACAAGACCCCCTTCTCAAAGAGCAAAACACATGTGACCCTCGAGGGGAAACCATAACAACAGTGCAGGGTTTGGGGCCCCTCCAAGCTTGGGGACACACTGTGACTTGTTCTCTGTGGATGTCACAGTGTGGGCCAGTGCCGTGGAACTGTCAGAACAATGCATGATGGAGGGACTCTCCGGGACGATACCTCCCCCTGAGATCTTCATGGACCAGGACTTAGGCCAGCAAGACAAGGTGAGGAGGTTTTGGGGGAGGGGGACACAGTGCTTTAGCAGCCAGAGGCCACAGGTGACTTGTCACCTCTTCTTCTCTGTGTCCTTCTCCAAGGAACCATGTCTTATTTAATAGACAGTTGTACCCACAGTTTATTGAGCATCTACTGTGAGCCGTGTTGAGCCCCTAAGGACATGATGAGCTCCTCTCATCTTCCTAAGCCTCAGAACAATTCTGTCGCCTCCTCTTTATTGCCGGGGAAACTTCAGGTCAGAGAGGTCCGGTAGCATGCCCAAGTTTGCACAGCTCAAGAAACGACACTGAATTCGCATCCAGGTCTGGCACCTCCCTCACACACCCAGTCAGCCCCAAGTGATTATTGCACATGGGTGGGGAGAACATACCCCTGCTCAAGATGAGAGGCTTGAGGTTATCCTGGGCTATATGATAAGCTCAAGGCCAGCCCGGGCTACATGAGGCCCTGCCTCCAAACAAAGCAGCAGCAACAAAACACAGCCCAACGATGCCTCGCTTTCCTTCCAGACCAGGGTCTGAGCCCATGGGGTCCTTGCATGTGGGAGACAGGAACACAGGGGTCCCTTTAACCCTCAGAATCGCTGCCTGCCTGACCGTGTTGTAGCTAGGGAAGGTCTGAGGCTGGTGTCCTGAGCCCAGACTGTGAGGGGCTGTGGTAAGACAAGAAGTCACCTTGCAGACACTGCCATTAGTCTGTCATGCCACAGCAAGCCATCCCAAAATCTAGCGGCTAAAAGCAGCCACACACCATCCCCGTCTCCCATGACTTGACTTGCACGATGTTCCTCTGCCAGTGTCTTGCAGCTCACACATAACTGCAATCAACCCAGAATGTCTCTGCATACAGTCCGTCCCCAGCACAGCAGCCCCCGGGGCCCCAGGGTGCAGAGGCTGACACCGCAGTCTGCGGTACCTTGACAGAGCCCCCCTCCCGGCCCTGTATTACTTCCACTACTTGCCATCTGTCCACTGGGGTCACAAGCCGGACAGCAGACAGAAGAAATGCCACTCAATGACAAAAGCCACAAAGGATTTGTCACCATGTTTAATCCACCACATTTGTTAAGCTGGGAATAAAATGAAAACAGAACAATTTTTTTCTCTTTTGAAGCCATTTATGCCCTAACTTCCCAAGGCACTTTCAAGGGCAAGTAAGGATCTACAAACAGGAGGAAGATGGTCATTAGCCAATCCTATCAGACAGGTGAAAGGCTAACAAGTTTCAGGCATGGCTGAGTCTTGGATCTTCAGTGACGTCACTGAAATCCTGGCTATTGCCTGTTCTACTCTTTGACCTTTCTGCAGTTTGACCTTGTCCAGCAGGCTGGCTTTCTGTCCTGGACAGGACAATTATGGTCAAGCTCAAGCCTCTATACCTAAAGTCCATGATACAAAAGGAAGCAGAACCCCCTGCCACCACCTTAAAATCCATACACAAGAGCTCTGAGAAACTTTGGTTGACCAGCCTGGGTCACAGGGACATGAAGAGGAGGGGCAGCAAGTGACGTACTTGATTGATATTCAACACTACCAAGACCACATGGAAGGACTGGGTGACACTCGCGAAGGAGGGCACAGGGGCCTCACCAGAGAGGCAGAGCCTTTGCTGAACATCGCACTCAAAGGTTTGCTTATATCCAGGGTCCAGTGCAGAACCAGGCTCACGGTAGGCGCCCAATCAATGTCTGCGGCATGAAGAATGACCAAGTATATTCTATGCTGAGTGTAGGCCCTGGGTGGCTCATTCTGGATGAGACAGGGGTTCCCCCAGGATCACAGAGGATGTTAGAAGCTGCAACAAGAGCCCAGAGAAAGATGCGCGGAAGCAGCTGGAGATACCAGCAGGATCCTTCATACCCCTGACACCATCCGTCCCCTAGGCATGCAGCTAGGATTGTTTGTCCAGTATCTCTGACATTCTGAGGGGTTCAGGGTACCTGCTCCTGCTTTGGGAAAACAGAGGAAATTCCTTGGTCACTGTGTTTTCCTAGGGAGATGACACATTGGCTCCGCCTGTGGGAAACTGTTAGCAGTCCCCATGTCCCAGAGTTTTCCCAAGCCACCAGGCGCCGGTTTAACATTCAGACTCAGTTCCCTGAATACTCTTTCATGGGGGCTTCCAGAGGAAGGAGAGAATTCCAGAGAGAGGGAAGGAAAAAGTGACCCATCCAGAAAACATAAAAAGTATTAAATGAATACTCTTATTATAGTCAGAGTGCGTTGGGATTGAATGTCATTCTAATGACCTATTCTGGGTCTCCGACATCCTGGATGCAGGCCTCATAAGGGAATACACAGAATGAAATAAAAATCTTCCTGCTCACTGACATTCCGGGGGGTGGGGGGCGGTGTGGTTTACCATGTGAAAGTATTTTTTTTTCTTTTTTTTGAGTAAGGAAGTGTCTGTGTCCCAAAAGCTCCATAATAGGCACCTAGGTATAAGTATGTGGTTCTCTAGTCTCTCTGGGACCTTCCAAGAGACACAGTCTGCAAATGCCTCCTTGCCCTTCTGCCTACCCTTCCCTTCCTCATTTCTCAGAGTGATGCCCCGTCTCCTCCATATTGTAGAAGCAGGTTCAGCTCACCACCCGCACCCTCCCCTGCTAAGCCTCCCTCTTGTCCATACACAGGATGAGATCATTCTGCTACTGGGGAGAGAGATCAATCGGCTCTCTGAATTTGAAATCGAGTCCAAATACAAAGACGCCGTGATAATGAACCTGCAGAGTGAGTTGGCCCACCTGAGTCAAAGGCTATCAGAGACAGCCGCAGCCGCCACAGCCAGGCAGAGCGACAGGTGTGTCCTGAAGGTCCAGGACCTGGATGAAGGCGATGATCTCAGGCAGAAGGAGATTGAGAGCATGAAAAGCCAGGTAGGACTTGGGGACAAATCTATCAGAGCCTAGAGTCCCCACCATCAAAGTAGATGGGAGAAGCTGGAACGGGGGCATCTGAAGGGCACCATGAAGGGTAAGAGGCAGGAGGCCACCAGAGCCCAGCTTCCCAGTACAGCATGTGTTGGGCCCTGGAGAACGTTCTCTAGATCTGTCACGATCCTCTGACACATCCCACAAAAAGACCATGGTAATCCCAGAGATGCCCAGGATCTGCCTGGAGCTCTCACAGCTCACAGGAGGTACAGAACACCTCAGACTCGGATCTGATCTGCCGAGTTTACCCCATACCCCCATGCCAGCTTCTCATTTATACCCCAAGCACGTTTTCTGGCTTTAATGACTGCCCATCACACCCATCCTGCCCCACTCTGAAAGAGCTATGTGCAGTTAGCCCAGGAGTGAGGATCACCGCTCATCCGACTCCAACACCTCCTCAAGCCCCGAGAGTGGCCGCTGGTTCCATGATGGTCACTGTCATCAAATAATGAACACTCCCAACTTAGACATCTCCATTAACCAAGCAGCTTCCATTCTCTGGAAACCAGATCCAAGTTCTTGTTTTATAACAACAGCAATTGGGCTGAGGAGATGGCTCAACTGTTAAAAGTGCTTGCTGTGCAAGCATGAGGACCTGAGTTTGATCCCCAGGCCCCTGTAAAAGAGCAAGGCATGCAGCATGGGTGAGAAATTCTTACAAGGCCCCACCCCTAGATGAAGAGCTACAGGCAGTCTATGGAGTGGTCAGCCATAAACATATGTGCCTATGAGCAACTCTAAGTGGACTTGGAGATATTTACACATATGCATATACATGTCTGTGATATATATATATATGTATGTATGTGTATACATATATATCCTAAATGTGTATATACACGTATGTATCTGTGTTATATATCTGCTTTTTATATCTAAATAATAGTTCATAGTACATATAATATATATGTATAGATGTAACAATAATAATTAAAGATGAGCAGGGTGGTGGTGGTGGCACATGCCTTTAATCCCATCACTCAGGAGACAGAGGCAGAAGGATTTCTATGAGTTCAAGTCCAGCCTGGTCTACAGAGAGAGTTCTAGTACAGCCAAGGCTACACAGAGAAACCCTGTCTTGAAAAACAAAATCAAAATTCTTATTAAAATATGTAAAATAAGCAAGGCATGGTGGTACACGCTTGTAATGCCAACACTAGGGAGGCAGAGACAGGCCTTGAGCCTCTCCAATCGGCCAGTCTATCCGAAAAGGCAAGCCCCAGGTCCTAACAAGAAGCCCCATCTCAAAAAATGTGAACAATGGCTCCCAAAATAAGGCCTGAGGGTGACCTCTGGCTTCCACATGCACATGCATGCCCAATGAACATGCCTGCATACACACCTGCATACATGTGATACATTAAAAGAGATAATGACGAATGGCCTCATTGGTTATGTACATAAACTGTTAATGGTTGATAGGAGGAGAGGGCCCAGTTCACTGTGCCAGTGCCATCCCTAGACTGGAGGGCCTGGGTCCCGTAACAAAGCAGGCCGAGCCAGGCGTAGTGGCGCACACCTTTAATCCCAGCACTCAGGAGGCAGAGGCAGGGGATCTCTGTGAGTTTGAGGTCAGCCTGCTCTATAGAGTGAGTTCTAGGACAGGCAAGGCTATATAGATAAACCCTGTCCCAAAAAGAAAGAGAGAGAGAGAGAGAGAAAGAAGAGAGGAGAGAGAGAGAGGGAGAGAGAGAGAGAGAAGAGAGAGAGAGAGGAGGGTAGGAGAGGAGAGAAGAGAAGATAAAGCAGGCAGGCTGAGTGAGCTATGAAGAGCAAACCAGGAAAGATCTCTCTTTCATGGCCTCTGCATCAACTCATGGCTCCAGGTTCCAGCCTGGATCCCTGCCTGACTTCATGATGGACTATAAACGGTAAAATGAAGCAAACCCTCGCCTCTCCAAGTAGCTTTTGGTCATAGCGTTTACCACAGCAACAACTCAAACTAGGACAGGTGCTCAGGTAGCTTTGAGTCTGTGGCAGCAGGTCACAATTTGAGTGCTGTTTCAAGTGACCAGTGACACCTGAAAATATTGGGGTTTTCCCCTTGGGAATGATCTAGAAACAATCATATTCACTTATCACACTTCTATCATCAGTTTTAACTGAAAGGGATGTTTAATTTAGTTTTTATGTGTGTACATGCTCTCTCTCTCTCTCTCTCTCTCTCTCTCACACACACACACACACACACACACACACACACACATACACACACCATGGAGGTCAAAGGACAGCTTGCAGGAGTCAGTTCCTTCCCACCATTTGATCCCAGGGGTAAAACTCAGACCACCAGTCTCGGTGGCAAATGCCTTCACATCACTGAGTCATTCCACAGACCCCAAAGAGAAAATTTTATAGTGAGACCTGTGATGTTAGATAATGATTGTTGACTTGCCCAGCCCCTGGGCATGCCTGTGAGGGACTGTCTACATGGGAAGACCCACCCTTATGGAGGGTAGCCCCATCCCACGGGCTGGAGTCCTCGACAGAATAGAAAGGAGACAGTGATCTGGGCACCAGCATCCCTGTCTCTGCTTCCTGACTGCAGATGTGATGGGACCAGCCTCCTCAAGCTCCTGTCGCCAGGATGGTCTGTACCCTCAAAATGAACCTTCCCTTCCTGAAGCAGTGTTTGTGGGATATTTTGCCGCAGCCTCTCTGAACCCAAAGATGCGATGGATCTAAACCTGACTCCAGTTCCACAGGCTCTTGTTTTAGCTTCGCAACTACTTTATTGCCAGCAGAACCTTCTGGCAGAAGTCAGAGCTGCTCGGCAGTTAATTAATGGCTCTGATTATTCTGTGTGTTATCCAGGGTCCCCTGAAAGCTTGTATCTAATGATTTGCCCTCATCCATCTCCCTGCCACTAGAACACTAGAACGAGCTCGCCGCCCTGCGCCTGCGCTAACTATCAAGCTGGTCATTACCTCACCTTCCCGTGCCTGTGCTGTCAGGCTAGTTAGTACCTCGAAGCAATCATTCTTCCCAGCGCTGTTAGCTTTCTTATGATCCAATACCCGTTTTATTACACAGCCTAATCCGGCAATAAACATCCTGGGGTTTGTGCCAATGACAGACAATCTGGATATTTATTTGGGTAATGAAGGCTATGAAGATGTCTGAAAGCTGTTTGCAGTTTGAGACCCCCGGGGCTCTGGTGCTTCATTGAAATGTTTTCCATATGATGGCCTTGAACCCTTAGGGGCATCCCTTCCCATCCCTGCCCCAAGCTCATCTTTAGAGAATGCCTTTGTTGTCCTGCACAAGAGAAATTTAGGCTAAGAATTAGTTTTGAATGTGTGTAGTATATGCCTGCCAGTGTAAATGGGTGCACACACCTGTCTGGGTCATCTTTCCCTGAGAGAGGATCTCTCAGCCTGGAGCGAGGCTGGCAGCCAGCGAGCCCCAGGGTGTCTCTTTCTCTGCCCCACCCTCCCCGGATGGATTTACAAGCTTGTGTGCTGGCACTGTTGTTTGTTATGTGAGTGCTGGGATCTGAACTGGGATCCTTGTGCATGAGCAGCAAGCTCTCTTACCGACTAAGCCTTCTCTGAAGCCCCTAGAAACTTGTAATTTTAAATACAGGTATCTTTTATGGTAAGCAGGACGAGATGAACTTTCTTCATCCCTGGTTTCCAAAGCACAGATCCGGGTGTGTAGCTACAGGGATGAGGAGGGGAACAGCCTGCCCCCCCACACACAAACACACACACACACACACACACACACACTGGCATTTACCATCATTTTTTCCCGTCATTTCAATTTTTAATTAGAAGATTTGAGTTAATACAATAAGAACTAGTTAAAGTGATGGTGGTTTAAATTTACATAATTACAGTTAATGAAAGGTGAAAGGCGTAAGATCCAAACAAAACCAAAACTCACTGGGAAGTTAAATGTGTAAAAAGTGTGAAGAAACAATACCAAAACACCTTCCGTGGCATTATTTACTACTAAGAAGTGAATCTGAACAACAGTTCTAGCAGCCTAATGAGAAACTTAAGGCTCCTATGATTGGCCTAATCTAACCAATCATGCCTCTTGGGGATTTAAATAAACTGTGCTTAACATTCACTGAGATTCAATTATAGGGTCATTTCCCACATAAAGGAACCTTCCCCTCTCATGCACAGATAGTGCATGCAAAAACACGAGACGTGGAGAGGAGCTGGAGAGGAGGCTCAGAGAATAGTAACTAACACTGGCTGATGTGGTAGAGCACCAAGGTTCCGTTCCCAGACCCACATGGTGACACAATAGCCTGTAGCTCCAGTTCCAGGGCACACCCTTCAGGTGCTATGAGGCTCCGCAGAAGAAGCCAGGTCTGTGACTGTGTCTGGAGCACTGGCAAGTGTGTCCAGCCTTTTGACATTGCAGCTCAACAGTGTCATTGAGGAAGTTCGTGTGTAAGAACTACACTGTTTTTAAAAATCCCAACATAATAATAATGTCATGGGCCAGTGAAGGTGCTTGTCCCCAACCCCCTTAACTACTTGAGTTCAATCCCTGGGACCCACAGGGAAAAGGAGAGCGCCAACTCCTGAAGGTTGCCCTTTGACCTCCACACATGCACTGTGGTATGCTCATGACCAACCTCCCCCCACCCCAATAAAATTGTCTTTAAAACTCATAGCGTTTGCCAGGCATTGGTGGCACATGCCTTTAATCCCAGCACTCAGGACGCAGGGGCAGGTGGATCTTTGTGAGTTCGAGGCCAACCTGGTCTATAGAGCGAGGTCTATAGATCCAGGACAGGCTCCAAAGCAATACAGAGAAACCCTGTCTCAGAAAACAACAAAACAACAAACAAACAAACAACAAAACATAGTGTTTTAAGTTTCTGGTTGTGTGTTGGATCGCATCCATCCATAGCTAATCTGGGGCACACACAGTCTGTGGGCTATAGGTTGAACATGTCTTCTAGAGGGATCTGTGAGATATGTCCATTGTCATCTGAGGAAATTAAGTTTACAACCTGTGCCCTCTTGAACTCTGCTTGACATCAGCTAGCTGTGGCTGGTGGGAAACCCCAAGGCTTCCACTTATGGCTGAGAGTTCCACTGACACAGAGAGCGCATTAAGAGGACAGGTCCCAGGGCAGTGAGGCAGCGGAACCCTTGTCGGTACTGAAACAAGAATCTCTGCACAGGTTTGGGAAATAGCCATGTGTCTCTGATCTGGTCCAGTGCCCTCTGATTATGTGCTGCCTCCTCCCACAGATCAGCGCCCTTCAAAAAGGCTATAGCCAGGTGCTCTCTCAGACCCTGGCCGACCGCAACTCGGAAATCGCATCGCTGAAGAATGAAGGCGAGAACTTAAAGAGAGATCATGCCATCTCATCAGGTGAGCTCTTCTGGAGTCAGGCTGAGGGAATGCTACCCCACCATGCTTGAGGCTCTGGCAGACATCACCAATCAACCACCACACAATGCTCCCTGGAGCCATACTGTCAGTGACTTGGGTCTTCCCCAGAAGTGTGCCTGCCAGCCAGCTTTAACACAGGGACCACCTTAGAGTCATCCATGCTGTGACCAAAGTCACTCAACATCTGAGTGAATGTCCTCTCTTGGCTAGGACCCATCACTTCAGGGAATAAAGATGCTGAGTGGCCTGGAGTCCTGAGAACCATTTCCTTGAATGGGCTCTTGACCCTAGTGAAAGCATTTTGCTAACTGATCAACTGAGGTAGTTCTGTGCTAAAGAATGTGGGAAGGGGACAGTCAACACATGGGCCACCTTGCCAGCCACAGAGGTCTGTTAGCTTGGATCCATCCATCCAGCCATCCATCCATCCATCCATCCATCCCTATATTACACTTACTGACAATGGTCTGGTCTAGATCTGGTCTCTGGGAGGAGAGCCCTGTGCAAGTCATAATCAATTCCTATATTCCAGGCCTGGATATGGCTGAGGGTGATGTAATGGCAGGTAAATGGGTAAGCAAGCGTGTCTGAGGGACAGAATGATGCTGTAAAGAAAACAAAACGAGGCAACGTGGTAGTTCAGGGCTTCGGAAGTAAGGAGAGGGATCCACGTGTGTCTACAGGAGGAACCCTGCAGGACCAGGGCACTGCTAGAAGCAAGCATGTGTGTAAAGGTCCTGGGGTAGGAACCAGCCAGCTCTGTTGGAGGAGCAACAGGTGAGTGTGTCTCAGGGAAAGAAACTGTGAGGGAGACAGAGTCAGAGGAGAAGGCAGAGCCAGATCCCAGGGGGGATTGTCTTCTAAGTGTGTTGAGAAGCCATTGGGGGTATTTGAAGCAGAGAATACTCTGTCTAGAGACTAGAGGAGAGTAAAGGCATTAGGGGAAAACAGAGGAAAGGGTGTCAAGAATTCTGGAACAAAGGTCCAGGGAAACAGCTGAGTCAGTAAGGTATTTGCCAGGCAAACAAAAGGACCCAAGTTCAATCCCAAGAACTTGTGTAAAAAGTCAGGCTCGGTTGGTGTGCACTGGTCATCCCAGCACTGGGGAGGTGAACAGGAGGATCCCTGGGATTCATATAATTGATGAGCTCCGGGCTATCTCAAAACACAATCAGAGAGTGAGGGAAGCCAGGTACGAGGCTGAGCCTGACAACTGGCGGGAGGAGCATCTCTCCTCCCCTGGGAAGAGAGTCTGTGTGGACGAAACGGCCACACGGCAGAGTCTCAGCCCCATCCCAGCTCCTTGGTGAGTGACCATGGTAGCCATGACAGCGGTTCTCACCTGTGTCTTTGATCTTTGTCCTTGCTTTGCTTAAAACAGGGATGGTGACGTCTTTGCAGAAAGATGTGTCGGCCCGGGACGAGCAGGTTCAGCAGCTGAAGGAGGAGGTGAGCCAGCTTAAGAGCCAAAACAAAGAAAAAGAGTACCAGCTGGAGGCCCTGGGCTCCAGGGTGAGTCTGTGTCACCATCTCCCCGTGCTCAGTGAGAGGGACCTACACTAGTCATGTGACATGCCCCCCATCACTTCCCGGGGCCTTGACTTTGGACATCACAGCCTCTTCCCACACCATGGGGTCCAGGGACATAGGAGGAGTTGCCAGAGACTAAATCCTTAAGTGTCCTCCTCAAAAGACTGACATAGAGAGCCAAGTTCCCTACAGCTTTTCTTTCCTAAGATTTATTTTCTTTTTAATTGTGTGTGTGCACACGAGTGCAATGCCTGTGGGAGCCAGAAGAGGGCACAAGATCCTCTGGAGTGTTTATGAGCTGCCATGTGGGTGCTAGAAATTGACCCTGGGTCCTCTGGAGGAACAGCCAGTGCTCTTAACCACTGAGCCATCTCTCCAGCCCTCTCCCTGCAGCTTTTCAAAGAAGAGTGAACACGAGGCTCAGAATTAACACGATTCTAACTCATAGCCATGTCCATGATGCTCATACAGTATACATGTCTGTAATCTAGCACTTGGAAGGCTGCATCAGAAAGATAGTTTAAGGCCCCATAGACATGCACGTAGGCCAACCTGCTGTAGATAATCCCTCACACTACCCCCAGGTGGCTCTAGGTTGAGTTGACAGTTAAAACTGAACAGATTCTTATTTAGAACCACAAAGGGTGCCTCTTTGCTCTTGCCGCCTGCCGCCCAGTCCCCTTCCAACGGGAGTGATGCACTTCCCTCCCCTGCAAGGTGGTCACAACCTAAGAAGTAACAAGAGCCAGCCCTTAGAGCCAGCCAGATTCCCGGTGACATCCCACACATGTCCCCTTTACCCAGCTCTTCAAACATGGGTTTTCCTCATGGCTGGGACTGCCGGCTTCTGAGAAGGAATTTAGATCTCAGACCTTGAGAGAGGCAGGAACCCAGAGCCCCCGATGCATCTATGTGCCTGTCAGACACCAGCTGTCTCCCCCGCTAAACGTGGGTGTGCAATTGGAGGGGAACAGCACAAAGTGCTCTCGGGGCCTGCTGGGGCCCTGGGAACACCCTCCCCCAGACACCTCCACACCACCAGCCTCGGCATCTTTCTTTCCTGTCCTCTCTCTCCTCAGTGCTCAGTGCTGAAAGAAGAGCTGAGGAAGGAAGAGGCCCAGAAGGAGAGCAGGGAGGCTCAGGAGAAGGAGTTGAAACTCTGCAGAAGTGTGAGTTGAAATGTCCGCATGAGGAAGTGCACCTCGCAGAGTCTGAGCTTGACGTTCATGTGGGACCCGCAGCCCTCCCCCAAGCATAACGCTGCTCCGGCTCTGTGCTGTCTGGAGGAAGCCATGGAGCTCTCTCCAGCTTTCTCTAACCAGTTGGCTCTGTTTCCTCTGGGGCTGAGCAGGGGCACGGATGGGGACAGGAGGCCACACCTGCTGCTGTTATAAAAAAAAATCATTCAAGTTCCCCGCCCTGGACCTATGTTCATCTAAACCTAAGTTCTGCTGTCTTTAATGTGATGGCAGCCATCAGCCATAGGTAGTGTTGTGACACCTTAATGAGCCCCAGGAATGAGCGGGTCCTGAGGAAGGAAAGCCTTCCATTTAGGAGGTAACTCTTGCCACGCTCAGGGAAACTTAACTTCTCTGTGGTTGAATTTTATCTTCAGCAAATGCAAGACATGGAGAAAGAAGTGAAAAGGCTCAGAGAGGAACTAAAGAACTGTTCCAATCAGAACACCCTCTCCAAGACGCTACGAGAAAAGAGTAAGGTGCGTGGTTCAGGGAAGCCACAGCGCTCAGGGTGCAGCATCCCCGCTTAGCCGCACAGCGCCCCCGTGTGGCCGATGACCGCATCTGCCGCTGCTCACAATGGGAGAAAGTAACCCTGAGCAGGATGCTCAGAATAAAATGGTTCCCGGTTTGTCTCAGTGAGATTCGCCCCCTCCTGCAAATCCTAGCAGGTCTCATTTTCCTGTTCTGGGAAATGTGGCACCCGTTTTAGTGGGTGACAACCACATAGGACTATCTGGGTTTTAAATAAACTAAAAGCCAATAAAGTAAAAATAAAATTCAGGGCTGGGGAGATTGCTCAGTGGAGATAGTGGCTGCACTGAGAGCTGAGTTTAGATCCCCATAGCCAATCTAGAAGAACTGATGAGCTCCAGGTTCATCGAGAAACTGTCTCACCTCCCCCCCCCCCAAAAAAAGTGGAGAGCAGTAAAGACACTCAGAATCAGCCAAAATTCCACCTGTGGAGGGCCTCATGAGGCCTCACCCCTAGCTGAGGAGGAAATTGAAGGCTGCTAGGAAAAAAATAATCAGTTGTCTTCAAGGATGCAGGCCCTGGGATGCCATCCGTGCCCCAGCAGGTGTCCCCACAGCCCTGCAAATGCTAAATGTCCTCAGTGGAGTTTTCAAAAGAACATATAAAGCTGGGAGGGGAAAGAACAGAGTCTGGAAAGATGGCTGGCAATTGAGAGCACTGGCTGCGCTTGCAGAGGACCCTGTTCCCAGCACCCACATGGTGCTCACAGCCATCTGTTACTCCAGTTCCAAGGGATCAGACACCCTCTCAGGAATTCTGCAGGCATTCAGCATGCACAGAAACACACACACACACACACACACACACACACACACACACACACACACACACCAAGAAAAAAGTGGGGGGGAATAGGGAAGGAACTGGAGAGAAGGGATAGGGGCATGGATATTATCAAAACATCTGTGCATGAAATTCAAGCAGTAAAAAGAAAATGCAATTGGAAGGAAAGAAAAGAAACCTTTGCCTCCACACACCCCGTATGTGCATGTGAGTCCAGGTGCCCTTGGAAGCCAGACGTGGCATCAGGTCCCCTGGGCTGGAGTTACATGTGGTGTTGAGCTGCCTGACATGGCTGCTGAGACCTGAACCCAGGCCACCAGGCCCTTCAGGCACCTGCACCCATATGCATACACACACATAAATTAGCATTTTTAAAGTGACAGTGACCAGAAACACTATCTATGAAATTTGGCCAGAAAGGAATGCATCCAGAAAATAATGTTTCCAAGACAGTGAAAATGGAAACATTTGGTGGAAACATGCTCAATGGACTTCACTATGCAAAATATCTTTCCAGTGAAAATGGATTAACTTTGACTTCTCTCTTCATCAAAATCATTGTAGTCATGGAAACAGAACCAAGCTGCTTCCTGGGCCATACATTTCCCTCTAAGTGGGACTTTCACTGTGCCACACATGTTCTAGGATGTTCTTGTTGGTACTCCGAACCCAGTCTTTTCCAATGCCCACTGTTATTTCTTCTTCCGCATATGGGACAATTGGGTTATTTTCTGATATCTGGATATATGAGGATTTCTTGACTGCCTTTGGTTATTGGTGTCTAGACTGGCTGCATTGTATACAGAGGTCTTGCTCTAGGTGATTTTAGCCCCCTGGTATTGACAGAGGTTTTCTTGGTAGTCTGCATGTGGTCTATCCTTGCTTCGTTATGTGCCTACAAAAAGAACATACATTCTACATAGAACACAGTGTTCTACGTGTGTCTTTTAGGTCGTTTGACCACTGTGATGATTGGTTTTTAACTGTTATTTGCCAGCTCCTAGGATCACCTGATTGAGGAATTCTCTAGGTCTGTCTAGTCTGTGGGGGTTATCTTGATTGTTAATTGGGATGGGAAGATCCAGCCCACTATGGGTGACACCATCCCCTAGGCTGGTCCCTGAACTGTATAGAAAGAGGGAAGTTTGGTGCTAGAGAGATGGCTCAGAGGTAAAGAGTGCCCGTTGCTCTTTCAGTGGACCTGGATTTAATTTCTATCACCTATATCAGGTGGCTCACAGCCACCTGTGACTCCAGCTCCAGGAATAGGACACCTCTGTCCTCCGAGGCGCCTGCACTCATGTGCACATACCTCCCCAACACACAAATTTTAAAAGAGAAAACTTTTTTTTTTTAGAGAAACATAGCTGTGTACCAAGTATAAGTGGGCAACTTGTATGCATTCATTTCTCTCTCTCTCTCTCTCTCTCTCTCTCTCTTTTTTTTTTTTTTTTTTTTTTTTGGACTGTGGATATGGTATGATGTGCTTGAGTTCTTGCCTTGACCTCCCTCCAAGATGAACTATAACTAGGAAATATAAGACAAATAAATCTCCCTTGCCCCATGCTGCTTCATTCAGGATACTATTTTAATTTTTAAAGTAATTATTTTAAGTGTATGGGTGTTTTACCTGCCTCTATGCCTGTGCACCATGTGTGTGCAGTACCAAGGGAGTCCAGAAGAGGGACTTGGATCCCCTGGAACTGGGGTTACAGATGGTTGTGAGCCTCCCTGTGGCTGGAAGTTGAACCCCAGTCCTCTGCAAGAGCAGTCAGTGCTTTTAATCACTGAGCCACCTCTCCCGTCTCCTGCCAAGATATTTGTCACAGCAACAGAAACGACACTAAGATATCAATGACAGCCAAAGTGCCAAGGATTTTGTTGATTTTCTTGTCTATATATTCTATCAGCCATCCAGAATGGCATTTCTAAAAATCCCATCAAGACTGAAGACTTGTCTATTTCCTCTTTTAGGACTGCCAATTCTTTGAAGTCATGGAAGTAGGTGCCTATAAATTTATCTTAACCCTTCACTGTATCGAAGTGTGTGCCATCAAGAGATGGCTTTCTTCATTTCCAGTTGGGATTCTCCACCTTGTCACTGACAGGGTGCCATCAAATATGCGAGCTCCCTTCTCATTGGACTTCCCTAACATGTTGGCATTTTTTTTTCTGTCAGTTTTAAGATTAGACCATTGCCGTAAAAAATCCAATTTGTCAATCTTTGCCTTTCAACCCATTGATATATAATGTAATTGTTGGTATATTGGGGCTTAAACTTACATTTTTGCTCAGTATCAATTGTACCACCTGTTTGTGCTATACTTCTTTCGCTTTTCTTTCAAACAAACCACGGTCTCATATGTAGTCCTAGCTGTCCTGGAACTCACAGATACTCACCGCCACCGCCACCGCCACAGCCCCTGCCTCTGTCTCCCAAGTGCTAGAATTAAAGGCGTGCAGCATCACGCTTATCTCTTCACTGATAATCTCACTGGTCTGTTTCCCCCCTATATTCTCCTGGCACTTTCTGGACTGCTTCTGCTTCCAGCGGCACAAAAGACGTGTGTCTTTCCACAGCCCGATACTGACTGAGCTTTACTCTTTTGACCCCTTTTCACAGTTACCTAAAAATGTGCTTTTCAATTATCAAAAGCCAGCGTCCATGGGTGATTTTGCCCCACTCCTGGATGACACAATGGCTACCAACATCAACTCTTTGTCATCACTTGTGACACACAGACTTACACACTGTGATCATTACTACCTATACCTTCCTCCACACACTGGCATCCTAAAGACTTCCCAAGTGCCCTTGCACGTTCTGTGTTCACACTCACAGGAGCTAGGCCTTCCCTACATCCCTGGGTGTCCATCCATGGTCCTCCTCCTCCTGCCTAAAATATATCCTTAAGGATTTAGGCTGTACTGATGACAAAGGCTCTCAGAGGTGTGTGTGTGTGTGTGTGCTGTGTGTGTATGTGTGTGTGTGCTGTGTGTGTGTGTGCTGTGTGTGTGTGCTGTGTGTGTATGTGTGTACTCTCTCTGTGTGTGTTGCTGTGTGCGTGTATGTGTGTGTGTGTGCTGTGTATGTATGTGTGTGTGCTGTGTGTGTGTGTGCTGTGTGTGTGTGCTGTGTGTGTGTGCTGTGTGTGTGCTGTGTGTGTGTGTGTGCTGTGTGTGTGTGTGCTGTGTGTGTGTGTGCTGTGTGTGTGTGCTGTATGTGTGTGTGTGTGCTGTGTGTGTATGTGTGTGTGTGTATGTGTGTACGTGTTTTGCCCTTCTTTCTAGGAACATATTTTGACTGTGCAGTGACTTCTCCTTTGACAGTGATTTCCTGTCTGTAGACCTATTGTTTCCCAACTGTAAGTCTAACTATTACATAATTGCTATTACTATGTGATGGTTGCCATTTTCTGAGATTCCCTTTCCCTGTGACTCACAGCTAATGTACAACGACTTTCCCTGGGGTGAGTTCATTTTCCTTACTCTGTTCACACTCCTAAGGGCTTCTTGCATCTTAGACCCGATGGCTTTATTTGCTTTGGTTTGGTTTTTCATTAAGTTTGGAACTTGGGCTGTGTGCTAGATGCAGAGAGGAGCTACTGGAAGGCTCTGACCCAGGCACTGACTGGGTTTGTGACTAGTTATGACGGTGGAGAGAGAGCTGCATCTGGCGTTGCAACAGGCATTCTGTCTTTTCCCTCAGCCCGTTCTGAGATCTGGGAAGCCGTTGTATCCATGTGACAGATGAGGGACTGAGGGCTGAGCAGAGCAGAACAGCTCGTGTGAAATCGTGCACTTAGTAAGGGGCAAATACCAAGCAAGAAGCCCCATTTATGTGAGTCATCACTATGGCACAGCCACTAGCCACGTGTGACTGTTAAAACGGAAGTCAAATTCGTTTCAAAAGTCTATCCCTCTGGATTCATATTTAAAAATAAAATGTTATTTTAAAATTCAATTGAAAACCCACATCTTCCACTGAGCAAGGGTATATCCAATGTCCCTAATCACATGACACATATAGCCAGACATGGCCAGTGGCCATTGCACCAGGCAGCCCAAGTCATCCAGGCCTCATGGGAAGAAGTTGTTTCAGACACCATTGATCACATCTGGGTGACGTCCAGCAGTCACCCTGAAGAATTCACTAGAAGGAACTAAATTGAAAGCAAGGAGAGCATGAATCTCAGGCCAAAGGTCCCCAGTGCCCAGCTGAGGCTGTGTACAGGGTAGGGACCCGATAAGCCTCTTGGGACTAAATGCACCCCTAAGTACACTCCCTGTGCCAATGATGGGGAGGGGGGACCAGGACAGGCAAGGCACTTGAGGGCCAGGGCGGAGCGGGGCTGTGGCTGAGGCTGGCTCTGGGGCTTTGGGCTGGGGAGCAGGGAGGAGACCACTGGGATGAGGGGTACAGAGCAGGTCCAAGGCCAGGCATGGGAGTATAGGAGACTGCGGGGAGAGCCATGAAGGCCAAAGCTCCGAGCAGGCTTCCCAAGCAGCCTTGGTCTGAGAGTCTCCTTGCTGCCCCACAGAGCCCTGAAGAAAGTAGTTCTGATGGGTTTGGGGTGTGTGCTATTGGTGTACACCTCTCCAGACTCTGGGGCTTGTGATACTGATTCACCATAAAAACCCTTTCCTTTGAGGGGCATCCCCACCTCCATTCCACACTAGAGCTGAGGTCCCCGTGGAAGGGGAAGGGACAAGTCAGGAAGATGAAGGAGATGATGTGGGAGAGGGCAAGAGGAGTAGGTAACAAGGAATAAGTGTGCGCAGAATGCACTGTATACATGTATGAATATGCCATCATGTTCTACTAATTTGAAAAAAGTAGAGATGCAGCCATATCCCACAATGGCCAGCAGAGGGCAGCACTGAGCACTCTCAGGCTTTCAGGGAGGTAATAAGTAGCCATGTCCCTGTCCCTGTCCCTTTTAAATGCCTCCTGCAAATTCCAGGTTTTTTGTTTGTTTTTTTCAAATTCTTTCTTGGCTGGCCTCGTTAGGTCTCCACTGGTGATGCAGTCAGGAGATTATTCCCAATAGCAGTATTTACCAAGCCCCCTGTGGACAGGTCCACTTGGGGTGTCAGAATAATGGTGGGTGGTTTATCTTCCAGCTTTATAAGCTGCAGCACACCCTAACATGCATACCACAGCTACTGCAAACACTCTTCACCCCCACAGTAATCCTTCGAGGCATTCCTGGTAACACCCCAGGGAACACTTATTCACAGACCAGCAAAATAACTCTGAAGTCACATGACCTATTAGGGGGCCACACTCGGATTCAAGTCAGGGGTAAGACTAGCATGGTTGCACCTAGGGAGTAAAGCCTGGCCCTTGGCCTTGTAAGCTTGCTTCCACACCGTACTCACATTTGGCCTCTGCCACATGGGCTACAGCTATCCCTGTGTCCCTCTGGGACCGCCCCCCCCCAAGGCCATTGGCTATTCCGGAAGAGTCTCCCCAGACAGTGTCATGAGCACATTAGTGGCAGACAGCACTTGCTTTCATCATTGTTTCAGGTTGAAGAGAAGCTTCAGGAAGATTCCAGAAGGAAATTGCTTCAGCTGCAAGAAATGGGGAACAGAGAGAGCCTCATTAAAACCAATTTGGAAAGGGCAGTAGGCCAGGTAGGAGCGTCCCACAGCAGTCCTTGTTGGGCCATGTGCCCCTGGGGGTCGTCTACACCCAGGCAGCTAAGTTTGGTGTCAGGGTGTGGTGGGGCATGATGCCTAAGGTAAGAACCCAGTGCTAGCCATTCCCTCCATGTTCTCCTGCTGGGCCGCTCACTCCAGTGGTGTGTTGTGACCCAAGACCTTGGCCAGGCAGCCAACCCCACTCCAGGGCCCTTGTCCCCTATCCACCACCCCACCCAATCCAGTCTTCCTCTCTGGGGTGTTTCTAGAACTTTCTCCGGATATTTTCAATGGCTGACATTTATCCTGGTCTTTCTCCCCCCAGGAGATTCATGGTGGCCTTAAGGAAATGGCTTTCTTTTTTAATAAGTAAGCCCTGAGTGTCCAAAGACCACACTAGACAGAGAAGATCCCAGGCAGGGTTGTGAGAGAGTCTTCGCCTAGCTGGGAAGAAAGGCTATCTTCCATTACTCTGGTCCAAGATGGCCAATGGGCCTTCCACTGCTCAGGGTCCCATGGTGAAAGACTTTACCAAGGGCTTGAGGAGAGCCATTGAAAAGCCAAGAGCAGGGGCCTAAGCCACCCAGGGAAGCCATCTAGAATTCTCTGTGGGAAACTCCTGATGCCACACCAGGCTCCAGACAGGGGTTGTGTTCTGAGATATTTGTGCTGTTGTGCCTGGGTCTCAGAAGGGCTAGGAGCCACCCCCCTCCCCAAAGGCTAAGAACCATAATTCTATGTTGTCCAGCACCAAGTCCACAACGGTTTCTGTTTACTAACATCCAAGCTGTAACCAGGTGCTGCAACCAGGGCTCGGTCCCCTCACACAGGACATGTAGAGGCATACGCCATTAAATGGCGCTAACCGCTGGGCAGCTGTGAAGCCCTGCATCGAATGACCCGTCATATCTGTGGTTTCTCTGGTAGCCCCTCAGTCCCTTGTCCCATCACACAGACTTGCCAGTCTGTGCCCCTGAGCTAGCTCCCCTCCCCCCACCCCATACACCTGATCTGGGGGCATGGCCTTGCTCCTTGCCCAAAGGCCTTTGCTTCAGCTCCAAGCTGGGTCACCTAAAGGATCCTGAGACTGCCCCATGCATAGATTGGGGACAGGACAGGAATCAGCCTTCCACCTGACTTTGTCATGGTTCCCTTACCTCAAGGCCCTGCCCATCTGACACCTCCTCAGCCCAGCCCAGTGTCACCAGCACCCAGCACACCATCCAAGTACCTGTCACCATCTCCCTGTCACCATAGACAGTCATTCCCATGAACAGTCCCTCCAGTCACCCTGGCATGCAGAGCTTCCCCACACCATCAACCTCTTGGCCCGCTTGACCCCTCCTTTGGCCAGGAAAGCTCGGAGCTCCTGGCTTAAAGCTCTTTGGCACTGTCGCCATGACTGGCTTACTGGAGTCCAGAGGTCTATGAACTCTTTGACTCTGGCTTCATCCAGTGGCCCGCCACGTCCCCTTGGGGATGTGTTACCCTGTAACACCCGCATCTGTCCATGGACCATAGATGGGGGTCATGGGTTGCTGTGAGAGTAAACTCTCAACCCGGCTTCTTAGCCTCCACTTCCTGATGAAGTCAGGGGCACCTTAGGCTTGGGATCCTCTAGGCTCTGACTTTAAACGCAGGACGATTGCCTCCCATAGCTGGGAACTCACTCAGGCCCATGTGAGGCCTCACCTCTATGTTTCCACATCCGAGTGCCCAGGAAACACCCACTGAGTGCCTGCACTGTGCTCACTCTAGGGACATAGAAATGAATTACAATGGATAGGGACTTTGGGACAGTTGATGTCCAAGGCCCTGGGGACAGACGTTGCTTTCTCCCCTCCCACCATCAATGCTGGTTACAAATGTATACTGGCTGTCAGCCTCAGGCTCAGTATTTATTCCATTCCTGGGCCCAGGCTTCCTGTTGGATAATTGACAGCAAGGGGCTCTTTGGAGGGCCTGAGACATGTGTGCAGGGACCGTGCGCCTGGGCCAGGCTGGACACTAATACTTGAAGCCGGCTGCTCCGTTCTGTCTATGGCTCTGCACCCCAGTGATCTACAACCCTGGATGTTACTCAGGCGTGTGGCCTGGACCCAGAGGTGGGGACACCCCCTCAGCCTTGACTCTGTTGTCTCAACAACCCCCACTGACCTGTCACCCCCTTTGTGCCACAGCTAGAGAACTTCAGAAACCAAGTCATCAAAGCCACTTTCGGAAGAGCCAAGCCGTTCCATGACAAACCTGTCACCGACCAGCAGGTTAGTGTGGCTCTCTGGCCACGTGACTCCTTCACTTCTGTCTCCCGGGATCTGGATGCCAGAGCCTAAGAGCATATGCTTCTGTTTTTGTTAGTGACACATATTTTTCACACTGTTGCTACACCGTAAAGATTTGTTTTGATTGGAGGGGATTTCCTGGCTTTTGAAGTGAAAGCTGGTTACATACTCCCTTGAAATGTTACTTGTGGAAATCAAGTCCAGCCAGGCAGACTACGTCAGGTGACCAGACACACTGATGGTCTGTGAGTGGAGGGGTGGCCTGCCTTCAGGCCACATACCTTGGTTGATCCCTTCCAAAGGGGGAAGATAACCTCAGCGGGTGGACAGGCCTCTGTGCTCCTTGCCTTGTTATCTTTCTCAGCCCTTTGTGGCCATGAGCAGATAAGAAACCAGAAGTGGAGATCGGAGAGATGCCCTGTTGGTAAAGTGCTTGCTTTGCAAGCACGGGGATCTGAGTTCAATTCCGGAAACACAAATAAAACACAAAGATCTGGGTGGTGTGATAGACCATGCTTGTAACCCCAAAGCTAGGGAGGCATCGCAAGCAGATCCCAGGGCTTTGGAGATTTTTCACCAGCCAGTCTTAGCCTTTGGCAAGTTCTAGGCCAGTGAGATACCCTGTCTTAATAAAACACATGAGGAATGGTAAGTAAAGTGTGCTCTGGCCTACACACAGACACACAATGCATACTCTCACACGTGTACCTACACGTATGTGTACTGTATGTGCACACACACACATCACTCACACACAGTAAAACAGTGCAGACCTCCAGTTCCCGAGCAATGTGTTCTGGTGACAGAATGCTGGTTCCTTCAGAGCCAGCAGCTCGGGGCCCTCATTTGGGCCCACTGAGCCGGGCCTTGTGCAGCTACTCTGCAGTCACTGCCTCCCAGAGCACGCTGCCCTGAGACACCTTCCTCTCTGTCCTCTGGCCAGCTGATAGACAAGATCATCCAAGTCACCGAGGAAAACCTCAGCTTCCAGCAGAGGAAGTGGACCCTACAGAAGGAGACTCACCTGAGCAACTCCAAGCGGGAGGAGACCACGGAGAACGTGGAGAAGCTGAAGTCACTGCTTACCAGCTGCCAGGTAGCCTCTAGCCTCACGGGCAGCCAACTTGCCATCATCTCCTCCACCCCACCCCATGACCACCCCACCCCGCCTACAACTCAAACCTCCCCACCCCATCCCCAATCCACCCCACCTCACCCCATCCCCAATCCACCCTGCTGCTGCTTGTCAAGAAATTGACCTTACTTCTGGGTCAGGCTGGGGAGAAACATTCTCCTTTAAATCCACCCTTGACTCAAAAATGCCTTCCAGGGAAAGTTGACATGGCCAGAAAAGATGGCTAAATATTTTTAGGTGGTATCAGCCCTCTGTACCCAACATCTCACATCTACAGAGCAAAAATATGAAGAGGCTCACCCACATTGAACACGGGCAGATTTATGTTCTCTATTAAACTCAAGCTATAGTTCAGTCAGTAACCTGCTTGCTGTATAAGCATGAGGGCCGGAGTTCGAATCCTTAGCATACACCTTAAAGACACTGGGCAGCACATGCCTGCAGCCCTAGTGCTCGGGGACGCTGGTACAGAAAGACCCTGGGGGCTTGTTTAACACCCAGTCTAGCCAAATAGGCTAGCTCTAGGTTCAGTAAGAAACACTGTAAAATAAATAAATAAGCGGGGTGGGGATGTGTAGCTAAGCCCTGATGTGCACGCAGACCTGGGTTTGACCACATAAAACTGGCCATGCTGAGGCAGGCCTATAATCAATCTGGGGGGACTGGGGGGGGGGGAGAAGGTGAAGTCTCAGTTACCCAATAAGGTTGAGGTCAGCCTGGGTTTCGTGAGCCTTTATCTCAGACACACCAAAAACTTCCTCACAGGAAGATAGAGAGTGGTTGAGGAAGACCCTGACATTGGCCTCTAGTGGGCATACACTCCACCCCACCCTCCACAAAACGTCAGCCATGTACCAGAGAGGCCTTGATTTTGTTCAGGGTAGACCATTTGCTTTTGTACAAGGAATGAAAGCTTCAGCCTCATGCACAGTGGGCAAGTACCGTACCACCGAACCCCATCTCCACTCAGACATTTTTTCTTGTCATTTTTCTCCTAGCACTTACATTGTGCTGAGTGTCGTGAGTTGCCTAGAAGCCACTTAAAGTAAACAGAAAGATGTGTGTGGGATGCACACACATGCCATGGCCCTTATTAAGGGACTTCAACTTCCTCAGATTTTGGCATCGGTGTCTTGGAACTAATTAATTCCCCACAAATAGAAGGAGATGACTGTACCAACTCTGAGAAGTCCCCAGCTCTGGAATTTAAAAAGAAAGAAGAGGGAGAGAAGGAGGGAGGGAGGGAGAGAAGCCGTAGCTGGGGGAAACAGCTCAGTTGGTAAAATGGGTACTGTGCAAACATGAGGACCTGAGTTTGAGCCCTAGAAGCCACATAAAAAAGTTGAGCATGGTAGTGTGTGCCTGTAATTCCAGCACAGTGGAGACAGATGTATGCACGGGGCTCACTGGCCAGCCAGCTACCCTACCCAGTGAGAGCCCCTAGCTCAGAAAACAAAGTGGGTGAAATGCTCCTGAGAAACTGAACCTGAGAGTCAGATCTCCATACTCATGTGTACATGCACATGCATGTACATATATGCACACACGGACACACACACACACACACACACACACACACACACACGAGAAAGAGACAGACATGCTTCTGTTCAAAATCTTCGATTTTGGCCCCACAGTGAAAGCTATTTTAAGGTCCTTGCCTTCCCCTCTAGAAGAGGCAGAACGAAGGTCCAGGGTGCCCCTTGTGTCCCCACCCTGAGCATGTCAGAACACGCAGCTGCTTCTGCTTTCTCTTGCAATCAGAAGTTACTATTTTGGGAATTTTGTGCAAATGTTGACTTGTCAGCTCTCTTTCAAACAAGTCAGGAAACCGCACTTTCTGTCCAGCGTGTGCGTTGATCTTGACAGGAATTCTGATGACTCCAAGTAGCCAGATTTGGGTCTCACGTCAGACAGATTGACGCAGCAATTTGGCATTACACAGCCTAAAAAGGAAATCAAAAGAGGGGCTGGGGAGATGGCTCAGCGGGTAAGAGTGCTCATTGTGCAAGCTTGAAGACCTGAGTTCAAATCCTCAGCACCCATGTAAGATAGGCAGGTATGGCTGCAAGTGCCTGTAACCCAGCATTGAGGGGCAAAGGCAGGCAAGGGAGCCCAAGAGCTCACTGGCTGGTCAGCCTCGCTGAAACGGTGAGCTGACAGTTCGCTGAGAGACACTGTCTGAAGGCAACAAGTGAGCACAATAGAGGAGGACACACACACACACACACACACACACACGCGCGCGCACACGCACACACACACACACACACACACACACACACACACCAAGGCCAAATTAAGGTAGGAGACAATAAAAGCTGCCAAAAGAAACGGAATGAAACCGGGACACACCAGGGCAGTGAGGGGAGAGGCTGCCATGCCTGCTTCCTGGCCAAGTCCAAAATCTCATTCCTCACAGGGCCGCCACGTCAGGGCCATTCATAGATGCTGGGTCCGTCTGCTCACGACCTACCTGTCTGTTCCCAGGCTTGCATGAGGGAATCTTGCAGCAGCAGTGACCTGAAGAAGGAGGTGGAGCTCCTTCAGCACCTGCAGCTCAGCCCACCCGTGTCAGGGCTTCAGAAGGCTGTACTGGACATCCTGCGAGTGCCCCTGTCCTGGCTGGAGGAAACAGAGCAGTTGCTTAGGGACCTCAGCATCCAGCTGTCGGGTTCTGACAAAGGTAACTGGGCCCTTTTCACTCATATGATCGCATGTGTCTGGAATGCCACCGTGAACCCTCCAGAAATAGGGCACAGCGATGAGGATGACTCGTGGGTCAGAAGGGCTGTCAAGATGGCTCAGTGGGTAAAGCCTCATGAGCTGGTTCCAATCCCCAGGACTCACTGTGGAAGGAGAGAACCAACCCCCAAAAGTCACCCTCTAATCGCTGCATACAAACATCCACACAAATTCAACATAAAATGGAACTGAATTTTTTAAGTAGAGGGGCTGGGGAGTTGGCAGCTAAGAACCCTGGCTGCTCTTGCAGAGGACCCGGGTTTGATTCCTAGCACCCACATGGCAGCTCACAACCATCTGCAACTCCACTCCAGGGGATTCAATGCCTTCTCCTGACCTCCAAAGGCGCCAAGCAGGCACGGCACACAGATTTACATTCAGGCAAAACACTCATACACATACAACATTTTTCTTTAGTTGTTTGTTATTTAGTTTTAAGTATAACCAGATATGGTGGCCACACCTTTAATTCCAGCACTTTGAAGGCAGAGACAGCCTGATTTCTGTGAGTTTGAGGACAGCCTGGTCTACATAGCATAAAGGTGACAGTGGCCACACTAAGGCCAGGCTGGAGCTGGAGAGAGAAAAGATTCAAGTATCTTTCGGAAGTGCTAGAATTGAACATAGCGAGCAAACGACAGAAAGGCATCTACATGACTGTTAAGTCTCTGGGATGCTGGATGCAGCCCAGGTTCAAGGGAAAGGATAGGTTCAAGGTGATGCGGAGCTCAGGAGTTGCCGTGTCTGGACCAATAATGCATTCCAGACACAGGGGAGCGCTGCCACATTGGGAGAGGTTCATAAATGGCTGTGGAAGAGAGATGGGGGAGTGAGAGAGAGGGAAGAAAAGACAGGTGGGAGCAGACAGGAAGGAAGAAAGATGGGTGTGGTAGATAGGAAGGATGGTGGATGGATGGTGGGGGTAGAAGGATGGATAAGTGGATGGATGGTGGGGGTAGATGAATAGATGAATGGTTGGCAGCTACATGGAAGGATGGATGGTATATGAATGGTGGTAGGTGGGTGGATGGATAGATGGATGGATGGATGGCAGATGAATGATGAATGAATAAAGGCATAAATGTGGATGGTACGTAAAAAGACTGTACAGAGTGAGCAGAGAGAGTTCCCAAAGACATGCTCACAGTAGCACCAACATTTTGAAAAATTGCTACAAAAGTCTGCATAAATATGGCATTCATGCAGCTGTGACTGAGACTAGAGAGATGTTTGCATTCTAATGCTTCAGCCCCCCAGACAGGGTGTCTCCAATGTAATCCATAGGGCAGGATAAAGTTCTTTAAAGAAAATAAATAAATAAAGCAAAAAGTAAGAATAAGCTTAATTTATCTAAGTGTGTACACAGAAATGAGAGATGAGGGCTGGGTCAGGGGTGAGGGAGCTGATGTGTTTCCACTCACCAGTGGCTCTCCAGCCAGAGTTGCCAGGGGAGGGGGGGGGCAGGCTTTCAGTTGCTTGTCCAGGCTGGAACCAATAAGAAGCAGATCCCCATCTCCCCCTTGGCAGCAGTTGCACCAAGCTGTGTGTACACTGTCCCCTCCTCACTCCCAAGACCATTTCTGTCATCGCTGTCTGTGTCTGTAAATGGAGCCATCTGTTACTGTAAAGAAATATGGATGGGAAGTTAAGCTGTCAAGGCAGCCTTTCCAGAGAGGCTGAGAAAGACGGGCCGTGGGCAGCACTTCTCAGACCCACCATTGTTCTCTCCCGGACTCAGCCCTGAGTTCTGAGCAGCACTGTGCTGGGCTCTGCAGCATACTCACTGTGTATGCAGGGACATAGGATGGGAGGGTCCCCGATGCAAGCTTCTTTGTGCTTCCTGTCCCCGGCTTGCTTTTGGGGAGAGATGGCCCGTGGACCACTGGTGAGCTACTGGTTCTGTGATGAGTAACAAGAGGGGCAGTGGGGAAGAGGAAGTGGGTAGCAAAAGGGGATTTTCCTCTCTGCATAAGCGCTGTTACGAGATCCTGTGAGACTGAAAGGAACGGGCGAGCTAGAGAGGCCCCTACTTCCTCCATCCCTGCCCGTTTCCAGCACAGAGCCCTCTGCACAAGGAGGGGGCGTAGAAGGAAGAAGGAGGGTAGTGTTGCTGATGATAGTGGTGACAGCGGTGAAGGTGATGGTGATGAAGGTGATGGTGGTGGTGAAGGTAGTGGTGTGTTATGGTGTATTTGATCACACTGTGGGCCCTAAGATTGCATGACTTACTGGGAAAACCCTGTTTTTATTTGTGTGGCTCAGCCCTAGCACACAGCTTTAATCCAAGAGCTTTCTGTTTGAATTAAAAGATTAACAGGATTAAATAAAGTCAACCCTAGGCCAAGAGGCAGAACAAGCAACCAGTTAACAGGGCATGACCGTACAGAGTAAGAGGGAGTCAGGAGGATGGCTAGAGAGATGCACAGGAAGTAGAAGGGAGGGATATAAAGTTTAAGAAGAGTTGTTGGAGACAAAGAGGAGGAGGGAGGTCAGCTGCGTGCTTTCTCTGCCTCTCTGAGCTAACAGGGTTTCACCCTACCATTCATAAAAATCAAATGACTGAGAGTTTGTTAAAAACAACAGCGGTGGTTGTATTAATTACTTTTCTATTGCTGTAATAAAACAGCATAACCAAGGTGACTTATAAAGTAAGCAAGTAAGTGTTTAACTGAGCTTCTGGTGTCAGAGGGCTAGAGTCTGTGATGGCAGAACAAAGGCAATGTGGTTGGGAGAGTTCACATCTCAAACCTAAAGCAGGAGGCAGAGAGCACTCTGGGGATGATAGGAGAGTTTTAAAACCTCAAAGCCTACTATGACACACCTCCAACAAGACCATGGCTCCTAATACCTCCCAAAAAGTTCCACTAACTATAGGAACCAATTCTTTTAACATACACGCCTATGGGGGCCATTCTTATTAACCACCGTAGAGATGGTGCTGATGATGTGGTAAAGGTAATGATGTTGGTGATGATGATGGTGAAGATGCTGGTGATGATGGTGAAGATGCTGGTGATGCTGATGATGGTGGTGATGCTGATGATGGTGGTGATGCTGATGATGGTGGTGATGCTGAGAGTGATAATGGTGATGAAGGAGATAGTGGTAGTTTGAGAATGACCCCCATAAACCCACAGATTTGGTCACCAGGGAGTGTCACTAATTAAAAGGATTAGAAGGATTAGGAGGTGTGGCCTTGTTGGAGGAAATGTGTCACTGGAGGTGGGCTTTGAGTGTTCAAGACCCCATGCCAAACCCAGATTCTGTCTCTTTGCCTACGGATCAGGATGTAGCTCCCAGCTACTGCTCTAGCACCTGCCTGGATGCCACCATGCTCGCTGCCATGATGATAATGTTCTAAACCCTCTGAAACTGTAAGCCAGCCCCAATTAAATGTTTTCTTTATAAGAGTTACCATGGTCATGGTGTCTCTTTACAGCAATAGAACAGTGACTAAGACAGTGATGGTGGTGGTGATGAGGATGGTGGTGATGATGGTGATGGTGACAACAATGATGGTGAGGACAGTCATCCTCTTCAAGCACTCATATTTGCTACACCATTCCCAACATGCCCTTGTGTATCCCCGCTCATCCTCACAACAGCTCTATGAGGCAGTTTGCCATGTTGAAAATGAGCAAGCCATTCACTTAAAAACAGTTCCTATGATTAATCTACCAGCATGTAGTGATCCAGGTACTTGCCATCATTGAGATCAATGAGTATCCACATCTGCTCACTGCCATCCACTAACTCCCAGGAGCCTGTGTAGTCACAGTTCCTGAAGAAAAAAACTGGAATTGTGGGTCATCTGACACCTTCTGGGTACTTAGCATGTGCTAAGTGTGCTACTGCTGGGTACTTAGCACTGTGATTTGTGTTTCACTCCTGGGTATTAAATGCATTCTAGGTGTTCTATGAGCCATGTGCTTTTATACCCTCCCACCAGCCCAGTGAGGTAGGTATTAATGCTGTCTTTATTATCACAAATGTTGAAAACAGTCATATGGTAGTTGGAACTCACGCCGACATCCATGTGTTTTCAGTCATAGCTCCCCACTTCCTCTGAAGGCTCAGCAGGGCACCGGGTGCCTATCTCCTATAGCACAAGTCCTGCGGTGGCCCCAGGCGGAGACAGATCCACACTGTCATTCCCCAGTGAACCTCATCCCTCTCACATTTGCGTCATGCCCCATTTCTGTTACTATAGCAGAACAGCTGCATCTGGACAGTTTATAAAGAAAAGACATCTACACAGCTCATGCTCCTGAGGGTCCAAGAGCTCGGTGCTAATATCTTGTGAGGCGTCCTGCTGTGGCAGGGCCAGCTTCTCGTGGGATCTATCTTTTTTACAAAGCTGCAATGTCCCTTAGGGGCTACATCTCCAAATACCATGATATATGACTCTGGGGCCTGCTTCAAAGTGAATTTCACCGAGGCCACAGCACAGCACTAACAGCACAGCCCACCTCCCTTGGAGTCTTCTGCATTTGAGTCTTGGACCCCAGGGTTGGAATCCCAGACTGGCACTCCATCATGCGGGCGGGTTCCTAGACAATGCTGCATCTCCACTTAGCTGTTTGTAAAATGGTCAGAAAACTTCATTGGTAGGTATAAGAGGTAGATGACTTGCCTGGCCCACAGAGAGCCTGTGCGTAAAAGGAGCTGCTGTCATCAGCATCCTCAAATACTTGGTGACATAAAGTGGTGGCCACCGATCTGTGCCTGGGTAGTGCATCTGATTTATACCAGGAGACTGTATATGGAATCACCCTACCTCCTCCAGGCAGTGAACTAGCACTTAGTAGGGCCCAGAGATAAAGAGTCTTTTCAAGGCCACCTTAGAGACATGGTCTTGTGTCCTTCCCTGTTCCAAGTCCCTTGGCCTCAGAGCCCAACTCCTAACCACCATGCATCCTGCCTCCCTTCACAACAGTGTTCCAAGAGAGAAAACTTGCATAGCAAGCAAGTCCATAAGTCCTGAGATAAACCCCAGAGCAGTCCAGGTTGCCTAGTGAGTGGGATCCTTGAAGGAGAGGTAAGGAGAGGGAGGAGACTCCTCTTTGCCTCTGCCGTCATCATCCATCATCATCGTTGCTGACATTGTGAGCTGTCAGTTGACTTGGTTGCTCCCCTGCCTCAGTGTTCTTATGTTCTCACAAGGCTTTCAGAATTAAGGGATCCCTGGCCAAGAAACAAAAGGGGTACTCATCCCACTATCCCATGCATGGGTATGGACTGAAAACTGTTAACAAGGTCAGGCACAGCTCCAAGAGAAGATGCTGGAGGAGAACCCCTGTGAAGGATTCATAGCTCAAGGCTATTCCCACTGACTGCCAGCAACCTGGTCTTCCAGACACAGCTCCAAGTTTCTATGGCTGGAGATTTATGCTCAGCTGGGGCTGGTATTTGTTATTCATCTGTTTTATATGAGCAAGCTAGTTGGTTCAGCAATAGTATGTAGAACATTAAAGAAGCAAGATGGAAGGAAGGAAAGAAAGGACGGAAGGAAGAGAGATTGGGTCGCACTAGCATTCAGGAGGGGGGAGCAGACTAAAGAAGAAATAATCAAGTTGCAAAATATATGCAAACTATATGCAAACTATGTTCTGTTTGTTTGTTGGTTGGTTGGTTGGTTTTTTGTTGGTTGGTTGGTTTTATTTGTTCAGTGTCAATAGCTGACCAAAAGAAAAATCTGGGGATGGAATACAAAATTATGGAATGTCATAGCAACAAGGTAGATCACAGAAGGACTTTACTTTTGTTCTGCCATTCAACAGCTTTGTGATTTTGTTTCTTGAGACAGAGTCTCATGTGACTCAGGCTGGCCTCCATCTTGGTATGTAGCCGAGGATGACCTTGAACCTCTGATCCTTTGGTCTCCGCCTCCTGAACCTGGGGTTACAGGTATGTACCACCCCATCCAGTTTGTACTGGTGCTGGGAATCAAACCCTCTACCCACTGAGCTGCACCCCAGCCTCAGCCATTACTGTGTGCTGGCTGCTGTGTGGGACACTGAAGACAGCCATGAGCTTCTTCCCATGACCACCTTGTGACTAAAAATATAATGAAATGTTCTTCTCCTCAAAGTTAAAATTCCAACACAATCACATTTTATCATCGGCTCTTGAGACACAATCTGGCACTCTCTCTCTGTAGATCCCACCCTTGATTAACCCCGTCCTGAGTCATGAGAGCCTAGAGTGGCCTTGGCCACAGGCAGTATCCAGATCCTCTCGCCAGCTCCCCTTGGGGTCCAGCAGCTCAGATTCCAGGTATCTCAGAGCTAGCTGATGTTCCTCATCCTTTCTCTCAGCCTGCTTCTGCAACCTAGCTCAGAACATCACCCCTGACCACCTGAACATGCCTTTGGCTACAAGCAAGTTCCCTGCCTCTAACTCAGAGCAGGAGTGCCTAACATCTCAGGAGTATCTGGCCATGTCTAGAGGCCTTTTTGTTCTGACAATGGGCTGACCGAGAGAGATACTTCTGGCATCTGGCAGAGGCCATGGAAGCTTGTGAATGCTCCCTATGGCAGTGGTTCTCAACCTGGACCTCTCTGGGAGTCACTAACAAACTATCCTGCACATCAGCTATTTACATTACAATTCGTAACAGTAGCAAAATTACAGTTTTGTAGTTTGAAGTTATTGTATGGCTGGGGGTCACCACAACTTGAGGAACTGTATTAAAGGGTCAAAATATTAGAAAGGTTGAGAACCACTTCTACAGGGCACAAGACAGCTTCCACAGCAAGGAAGGGGCTGGCCCACCATGCAAGCAACACTATAGTAACGATGCTCCATCAGCCCACTGCTCTCTAACCATCCCAGCTTTTATCCTGCAAGCACGCTCTTCCCAGAGCTGCTCACTGCTCAGTCAGTAGCCAAGCAGTTTATGACTTGGACCCTGCAGCAGTCAGTCACACTGACTGGAGTCCCGGACCTGTCACGAGCAGCCCCAGCTCAAAGCCCATCTATCAGCTGGGGCGATGACAGGGCGCTGCTGTGGGGAGACGTTCACTGACTCCCCCAGCACCGGCACATGGGGTAGAGGGGGGAGGCGCTCTATACATTTCTGCAATGTTTAAGTCAGGGCTGTGTATTTTAATCTCCTCCCTGGGCCTGCCAGAAGTGATCTTCAGGTCTTTAGCCTCCCATTCAGTTCCACCTGCCATTCTTCCCCTCCACTCCTTAGCTGCCCAGGGAAACTGCATCCCTCCCTGGTCCCCATGGGTCTTCATCCTCTTATCTTTTTGCTGTGTGCAGCTCGAGCATGTCACCACTGCCCAGGTGGCTCCGAACATATATGGACTCTCTTGCTACAGTCTAGACCAGTTGCCTTGTTTTTGTTGCCTTGCATCTTCTGAGAACCATGTGATTATGTTGAGTCTGCACAGATAACCCTGACTAATCTCTACATCAGGATCCTTAACCTAAGCACACTGGCAACGTCCCTGACTCTGTGCACACACAGGTCCCAGCATAATCCCTTAGCCAGCCTCAGCTTCTATTCTGGAATTCCCTCCCTCCCACTCTGCCCATACCTAGTGGCTCATCAGGCGAATGGCCCCTCAGCTGAGACCTTCACACTCCCCTGGGCTCCCCTGTCGAGTAGGTGCTACCCATGGTCTCTGTGTGTTTCTTATCTGTTAGGGTGGACCTGTCGTATCAGACTACACTGTAAGGCCTGGGAGGGTATGGCTTTGCAAAATTCCACACTCTCAATTTGTATGCAGGAAATGTTTTTAAAATAAGTGCTCTATCGATAGGTTTTTAGTTTCTACCAAACAAAGCCCTCCATACTTTGGATTTGTGACTGGCCCACCTAATAACCACTTAAAAAAATGTTAGATGACAGCTTTTCCTGTCTTGATGGGAGGGCCATAGTACCTGTGTCCATCTGCCTGTCTGCAGATTCCATAGCTGGGTGTGGTGATGCACATCTGTACCCTTAGCATTGAGGCAGAAAGGTCACAAGTTTAAGGCCAGCCTGGGCAACCACCAAGGGGCAAGGCCACATCTCAAAAAGGAAAGGAAGACATAAATAAAAAGAAAGGGAGGAAGGGAGAGGGGGGAGGGAGATGGGAGGAAGGAGAGGGGGAGTAGAAAAAGCCAGAGAGATGAATTGACACTCACCCTCTCCATGCCCCTCTTTTTAAGGGTTCTCTCTGTATCTAATCTATCTTCTGGAACAATACAAGAAAATGATAAGCCAGACCCAGGAACTTCAGGTGATTCTTTAAGCTCATTTCTCCCCATCCCCAGCTGGGAATTTGAATTTCTCCTCATGCTATGAGTGAGTCGGCCCCACCCTCCTGCAAGTGACAGGCTTTTCCATTTACACAAAGGGCTTGAGCCAGTGTCTGATGGCCCACAGGGGGATAGGCAAACACAGGGCACCTCCCCTGTCTGGCTCCTGGAATAACCAGAGCTGGATTTCCTCTGTAAATCTCCAGAAGGCCAGTGAGGGGGCTCAGCAGATCAAGGTGCTTGCAAGTCTGACTCCCTGAGTTCAATCCCTGGGACCTACATGGTGAAAGGAAAACACACTGACTTCATCAAGCTGTGTTCTCATCTCATCATGAATGCCGCGACACATGCATGCCTGCACGCGCGCGCATATGTGCGCGCACACGCAGGCACACACCTGGCCTGTGGAACGCAGTTCATCATTTCCATACTGCACATATGGACAGCAGTATTCAGAGACCTTGGTGATGATCTGACTGTCACACAGCTCTATGGATAAAGAATCAAAACCAGGAGCCTTCAGATACCTCTGGCTGCTGTTTACAGAGCCCTCATTACATACCACGCACTGGACTGAGCCCCCATCATCTCACGAATAAGATGCACTACCACACCTCCTGTTTGGAATAAGGACACATGTAGAATTAACTGTCTAGAACTAGAGTGTGGCATCTTAATATTATTGCTGCTTCCTTGCCCACCAGTTCTCTAGACCACATATGGTTCAGCCATGTTTTTAGGGAATTTTTATGGAAGACTTTGCCCCCTGGAGGACTATGATTTGTAAGGGAGTGAGGAAAGGACTCCAGGCTCTCCAGCACGGGCTTTGGTTGACTGTTCTCTCCATGCAGGCCCAGGTGAATGCTTCTCAGGAAATGAAGCAGTCTCTGCAGCAGGAACACCTGGCCGAGAAGGAGAATCTGAACAAGGAGAAGCTGGAACAAGAGGAGAAACTGAAAGCCAGAATGAAGCAGCTGATGGAAGAGAAGAAGGTGAGGTGGCTCGTGCCTTTGAGCCTGGGAAAGGTGGGAACTTTCCAGGGGTCACTGGGAGCCTTGGCTTGAGCAGTGATCTCCACAGCTTCCGGATTGGTATACTGGATCTAAAGATTACATGGAGCCGATGGTTCGGTTCTAAACCCACAGCAACGCCTGGAAAGATGGCTCAATGGTTAAGAGCACTGGCTGCTCTTGCAGGGGCCTGGGGTTTGCTTCCTAGCAAACCCACATGCTAGCTCATAACCATCTATAACTCCAGTTCCACAGGGGTCTGACACCCTCTTCTGGCCTGTATGGGCACTACACACAGATAGCACACATAAATGCAGGCAAGACACTCATACATATTATATAAAAAATAAAGAAATCTTTAAAAAGAAAACCCCTGAAAGATCAGCTGGAAGAGGCAAGCATGTTGACATTTCGGGAAACACCGCCCTCTTCATTCTGTATTGTAGTTGCCTACACAAACAGTAGTTACTGCAGATCCTGGTTTGTAAGTGACAGCATAAGCTAAGTGGTCACTCCAGCCTTTTATCTCTAGATATAGAGCTAGGAAAACAAACTGGCCCAAACTGCAGCCTCCGTCCTAGACTCCAGGCCCTTAGAAAGCCCTGAAGCAGCGCCTCACACACTAAGGCACAGAGTACCCTGAGGGTCTGTTTGAGGTTCAGAGTCCATGTCACAGTTCCGACAGCACCCTCAAGGGTCATGACACCCAGACCTGCACTCTAGACACAGTGTTGGGGTACCCAAAGCTTTCCCAGAGATCTACTGAGGAGAGCAACTCTAACCTGATGCTTCATTAAAAAATAAACAGTCTATATAACACACTCGAATTCACGAGTGTGATCACCTCACAAGGCCTGTGCAAGACTGGGCCTGTAGACATCCTGTCAGGGAAGGGCAAGGAGCACCCAAGGCTCTGCCCCTCTGGGACCCATAGGCAGCTGATGACTGAGACAGACAGACAGTTTCTTTGGGGGTGTAGCCACGGGCAAGGTGCCCCCGTGCCATGCTCCGGTAAGCAAGCCCTGACGAAAAGAATCGAGTCACAAAAAGGAGGAGTAACATTGAAAAGCACAGCCATAGTTGATAGTCGCAGTCAGACTGGGTGTGGAGGGCCATGCCTATTGTGCCCTTCTTCCCGCCTGCCCCCATCTGCTGCCTCCGACTCCTCCCAAGCACCCCTTCTTTCTCTCCTCAGCGAAGGACAAGGCCTCGCACACTATTGCCACCTCACGTTGGCTCTAGTTCAGTGGCTCCCAACTTGGACAGTCCATCTCTGTCACTGACACACAGACCTGCTCCCTACCCCTCTCGCCAACCTTCAGTTCACACCCAGTGCCTTTGGGGAATCTGTCTCCTCCTCCTCCCTTTTGACTCTCCTTCTTATTAGTTATTCGGTGTGTGTGTGTGTGTGTGTGTGTGTGTGTGTGTGTGTGTGTGTGTGTGTGTGTGTGTAAGTCTGAGAGGCAATCAGCTCCCTCCTTCCACCATGTGGGTCCTGGGAATTGAACTCAGGTCATCAGGTTTTGCAGCAGACATCTTTACCATCTCACTAGCCCCCTTTCTGCCTTTTGTGAAGTAGAGGATATAAAATGAAAGAAGCAACGGCCAGAACTTGCCTATGATCCTTGTAAAGGTAAGATTAGTGATGGCTCCTGCATTTATCAGTTATGATAGAATGCCTGATGCTTTCTTGTTTGTTTAAGTCTTAAAGAAGGAAATATTATAAAAGAAAAAAGTGTTTTGTGTAAATAGTGGAACCACTGTGACTCTTTCATACCTATGCAACATCCTACTTTAACCCCGTTCACCCCATTACCCTTGCATGCCCCCCCCAGTTCTTCTCCTCCCCCAAATAGTTCCCTTGGCTTACACATCACACTCTACGATCAACATTCCACAGATGTGGAAAAACCATGAAATAGGGTTAAGCATGGTGAAACACGCCTTAAATCCCAGCACTTGGGAGGCAGAAGCAGGCAAATCTTTGGTGGCTAGAGGCTAACCTGGTCTACATAATAAGTTCCAGGCCAACCAGGAATACACAGGGGATCCTTAGATCTCAGTATGCTTAAAGTAAAGGTATAATCCAGTGTTGGATTCATAGCTCCTCATGTAACCTATGGACCAAAGCTTGGACCCCCGCCTCATCAATCCCACATAGGAGGGGAAACATGATGCTGATCTGTCTGGACCTGGCTTCTTTCACTTAACACGGTGATTTCCAGTGCCTCCCATTTCTCTGCAAACTATTATGGCATTTGGACTCTTTTTCCACCATGTGGCTCCCAAATATTAAGCTCAGTGGCTGAAGAGGCTTGCTGAGCATCCCACCAGCCCCTCCTTGTTTTCTGAGATGACCTGGAACTTGCAAGAAAGCTAGACCATCTGACCAGTGAGCCCCCCAGGAATCCACCTAACTCCTCCTCCCCGGGACTGGGATTACAAGGGCACCACCATGCCTGGCTCTTTTTTCTGTATGTGATACGCATGTGGAGATGTACATGTGTGTGACCGCAAGTGCATATGTGAGCCCAAATGCATGCACACATGTGTACTTACGTGTGGAGGCCTCCATGATCACATTCCACCTTATTTGTTGAGTCAGGGTCCCTCAGTTGAGGACAGAGCTCACAGATACAGCTAACTATTAAGTTTGTTCCAGGCTCTCTCTTCTCTGCTTTTAGAGCTCTGTAATTACAGGCATCGCCACACCCACCCAGTATTTATGAGGGTGCTGGGGACCTGAACGATGGTCCCCTGGCACATTTCACCTCCAGTGCCATCTATCCAGTCCACACTTATTTTTAAGTGAACGCTGGGCATCAGCTCAGGGCCTTATGCTTGCAAGGCAAGTGCTTCACTGACAGACTGTGTCATGTGCCTCTCGCTGTCCTGGCTTTTCAGTGACGCTTCCTCCTGTGCGCTGTCTTTAAAAAGTGCACAAGTTTTAGTTCATCCCTCAGCCTCCCGCCCATGAATCCTGGCTGCTCCAAGGACTTTTGTTAAGTGTCAGAAGAAATGCCAGGCTTTGTCATCAATCCAGCACCCGTTTTTGTTTGTTTGTTTTTAATGGTCCCTAAAGAGCTCCCTCTTCATTTGTGCACACATTACTTACTGCTGTTGACCAATGTCAGCAAGCTTCCTCCAGAGAGCCAGATAGCAAATGCTTTCATCATTGCAGGCTACTTTCTTTCAATCTGTGCCATGACTTTGTAGCCCTGCTCTTGTACAAAAGCGGCTGTAGACCACACATCAAGAGTGGGCATAGAGGGTCCCAATAAAACTTTATTTACCAAGCAGCATTGCAGGGAGGGGCATGTCTATAAGCCATTTTGGAAGCCTTGGTCCTAAATTTATCTATCTTCAGCCACACCACCCAGAAGTCTTCTTCAGCCCTGGGCATTCATCTGCCCAGGGCTGGCAGGAAATCTTTCTTGGGTTGGTTTAAAACACACTTTAGAGTCAATGAGGCTGATTCTCCAATATCTCTAACTAAGCCTATTTCCCCCTCTGCAGTGTGGAAGCAGGTGACTGTTACTGGGCCAAGAATCTCACCTTGATCATTTTGTCATCCCTTCCTCACATCAGCCCAACGCAGGAAGCGTCAGTACTGATCTCATCTTACACATAGGGAAACTGAGGCTTCTATGCACAGTGTCTCAGCTGTCAGGGCCCATAGCTAGAAAGCCTCCCTCCAGGGTTCTCACCTGGCCTCCACCCCACTCAGAACCCATGTTCCAGCCCATAGGCTCTGCTGCCCACATTCTCTTCAGGCTGCGGTGAGGACTAAACAGAGCCTGGCAGAGTCCACTTTCCTGTCATGGTTTCCAGCTCTGTCTAACAAGGGTCCTTGACTTGCAGGCCCTGGAGGCAGCTATTGCCCAGGAGCGAAGCAGAACGAAGGAGGCCTTAGAGGGGGAGCAGAGGAGAATCCGAGAGGTGGAAAGTCGCTCGGCCTCCCAGAAGAAGGTAAGCTGTTGGGAGAGGGGGATCTGAGCCCGCCTACAGTTGAGTCAGAGCCTACACCTGTCAAGGTCCATCTGGGGTTCTCACACAGACCTTCTTCTATGGAGTCGTCCCCTCCCCGGCCCATCTCCCCGCCAGCAGCCACTGGCTGCTCTGCCTGGGCCCGGGTGAGGCGTGCTGAGGATAGAAGGGCAAACCAGGCAGAGCCCAGAGAGTGTCCACGTCCTGCCATGGCAACAGTTGGACCCAACAACAGCTGTTGGCTTGCAGGCTTTGGAGGAGAGCATCGCTCAGGAGAAACACAGATCCCAGGAGGCCCTGGAGAAGGTGCAGGCTCGGGTCCGTGACCTGGAGAGCCACTTGGCCTGTCAAAAGGAGGTACACCCAGCTCGGAGGGACTCGGGAAGTGGGGCATGGGGGTGCTGTCCTGTGCTGTTTGTCCTGGCCTGGGCTCTGCAGCTGGGAGAGGTCTTGCAAGAGAGCCAGGGAGATATAGCCTTGCCAACAAGTTGAGGGGAAAAAAAAATGAATATGATGAGCCAGGTATGGTGGCTCCTGCCTGTCACCCTGTTACTAGGAGGCTGAGAGGATCCCTGTGAGTTTGAGGCCAACTAAGGTTATAACACAAAGGTTCCGTCTCATGGGTGATAACATAAAGTACAGGCTGAGACAGGTTTGGGATAGCAGCATGCATGTCTGCTCTGAAACATCTCATGGGGAAATTACAGGATCTTAAGAGAAGAATTCAACATCTGAAACTCACCCATGTTCAGCACCAGCACCTAGAAATCTTCAGCCCTGGGTAGAGGGATGCCCAGGGCTGTCGGGAAAGCTTTCTTAGGCTGGGGTGAGTCAAGCTCTTTGTGGCCAAAAGGTGACCATCACCAACCCATCTCAGGCTTCCTCTTCCACGCAGCAATCCAGAAGTTTAAAAGCCAGGCACCAGCTCCTAGATCCTTCCCAGCCACCAACCCCCCCCCACTCCACCCTGGTCCCCTGCCATGCACAGTAGGCTGGAAACCTGGCCTGGACAGCCTTCCCACACCTGCTCTGTGCTCCAGAAGTCACAAGCCTGTATGTAGTTCAGCGGGTGGAAGGGCCTGTAGATATGTTGTATCTAGAATGTTTTGGTGGGAACTCTGAAAATATATTTGATAATCCAGATTTCCATTTTCTCTTGAAAAGTCAAAAACAAAAACAAAAAAGCCTGGCCCTCATTTCCACTTTGGAGAAAAGGGGCAGGGGCTGGAATAGACCCTGGCAGCAGCAGTGGGGTACTCTCTAGGCTTCTGCACTCATAAGCTTTGAAGCTTGCAGTTCATAACCTGTCCCCTTCCTGAGGAACAGTAGCCAGAACTCCAGCTGGAGACACCTGGGAAAGGCTGAATTAAAGAGGCTGAGTTTCCATGGATGTGCCCCAACTCTAGCCCACAGGAAAGCCCTGTCACATTGTCAGCTTGCATTTAGCTTGTGGTCAGTCTCAGACCCCTGATTCTTTTACACATTACCTGTTTTGGAATATTAGTTGAAGATGTGTTGCATGTGTTTGTGCTGTGGGACATTTGTTTAATGATGCAAAGATGTGTTGCATTCTTTTATGTTGCATTTGTTTAACTCTGTGTTACTTTGCCTGTCTAAAACACCTGATTGGTCTAGCAAAGAGCTGAATGGCCAATAGCTAGGCAGGAGAGGGGGTAGGTGGGGCTGCCAGGTACAGAATAAATAGGAAAAAAGGAGAAGGGAGAGGAGCAAAAACAAGAGAAGGAAGAGAGGCTGCCAGGAGCCAGCCATTCTGCTACACAGCAAGCCTCAGAGTAAAAAGTAAAGAAAGGTGTACAGAACAGAGGAAGATAAAGGTCCAGGGGCAAAAGGCAGATGGGATCATTTAAGAAAAGTGGCTAGAAATAAGCCAAGCTAAAGCTGAGCATTTATAAGTAAGAATATGTCTCCATGTTCTTTATTTGGGAGCTGAGTGGTGGGCCCCTCAAAGAGCAAAGAATAAAACAACTTACCCATGAGCTTTTGATAGTCCCTCGGTCCTGAAGGGTGCAGGCTTTGTAGCCACACAAGATGCAAGTTTGAGTCTATCCATACCTTCCTTCTTGGAAGGAGCCACAAAGGCCAGAGATAATGAAGGCTGAACGTTTGATCTAGAAGTGTCACTGACCTGTGGTAGCTATCCCCTTTATTCCTATAGCCAGGCCTCCCAGCACTTGGGCATAACCTCCACCTTCCCACCCACACCGCTGTTTCCTGACAACCCACTCTACTCAAGTAGAGCTTGTCTACTTTCCACTAGAGAGAACGTATCTCCCTTCGATCTGCTGTGACCCAGGGAGATGTTTATGGGTAGTTTCTCACACAGCTGCTCCTCTGCACTCTGTAAATAGCGTCGCCAAGGTTTGCCTTTGAGTTGTGTCTCCAGGCAGGGTGAGGAGGTGGCAGGTGGGTCTCCATGGAGTCATTTCAGCTAGACGACTTCCAGGAATCAACAAGGGCTGGCCAGGCCCTTGAATTCAGAGATTCTAAGGTGATGGGGCATGTCAGAAAAAATGAATGCCTCTGGGCCAGGTGTGGTGATGCACACCTCTAATCTCTACTCAGATAGCACAGGCAGGTGGATCTCTGTGAGTGTGAGGCCAGGCAGGTCTACAAGCAGAGTTGTAGACCAACCAGGGCTGTAGCACAAGACCCTGCCTTAAATATATGTCATCATCATCATCATGCAGAGGGGAGCTGGGGTTGGTTACACCAGGCTTCAGAGCGTCAGGCCACCTCTGGGAAGGCCTGGCCATAGTTTCTTCTCAGAAAGAATTGAGCTACCTCCAGTTGGGCTTTTGTTCATTTGTTTTTGGTTTCTGGTTGTTAGTTGTGTTTTGTTTTGATAAAGGATCTGTTAACCTTTGTTAACTGGCTTCAAACTCACTATACAGCCAAGGATGACCTTTGAACCCCTGATCTTCCTCCTGACACCTCCAGGATGAACCACAGAAAAGCATCTCAGCGTAGCTACTCTAACTCCCTTCCATCTCTAGTAGGTTAAATGTCTCCTGAAGGCTAGTCGCCCTCCCCTTACAGACTCCAGTGGAAATCACCTTGCAAGTTCCAAACACCTGTAGCCCGGCTGGGACATAAAGGGAGGGCCCTGTGAACGCTGAGGATTTCATGTGCCAGAACCACAGCTTCTACCCTCTGGGGATGGAATCTGCCATGAGTCCATTAGCAGAGTAACCGCAGCAAGAAACGGACCTGATTAAATCCTGTGGCTAGGGACAGCCGAATACTAACCCAGAGCTCTTCCCTTGTCCCAGCACCACCCCTGCAAGACTCAGGAACCTTCTAGGAGGTGGCGACTGGCTCATTCATCCCCAGACCACCTCCATCCCCCTGAGCCGAATCTCCTTCAGAAATTTGCTTCACTGGTTGGAGAGTCGCCTTCCAGAGCCTCTGTACACAGCGTGCCTGTTTGCTCTCTGTTCAGGGCCCTGGCCTGCCTGTTGACAGACGGTGTGGCCCCCACCTCTTCTGGCCCTGGTTTCTTTGTCTATAAAAAGAGCTCCTAGAAGCAGCTCCATGGTAGGAGTGCCATGGGGTGAGGTCATCCCGAGGGTGACACAGCCACCTATCTCAGCCCTTAGCCTTAACTTGGATGCTGGTATGACTGGCCGTGCCTTTCAGGTCTTGGAGGACAGTGTGGCTCATGAGAAAAGAAAAGTCCGGGAAGTGCTGGAGGCAGAAAGGAGGAAGACCCAAGACCTAGAGAATCAGCTGACCCAGCAGAAGGAGGTAGGAGCAGCCAGGGCCCCTCCCACGATGACATCCAGCCAGGTGTGCCTGCCGGCACTGCACGCCCGCCCGTGGTCACAACGCTACAGCACCTCTGCAGGAAGTGACCAACAGCTGCCACTCACTAGCCGTCCAGGGAGGATCCCTAGAGCTCAACCCACACCCCCCCCCAGGGCCTCTGAAAAATGCAAATTGAAATTATCTCTTTGTGGGACAAAAGTCACTGTACACAAAGTGCCTACAGCCCTTCTCTGAAGCTCCCGGGAGTTGTGTGTGCTGGAATAGGAAACATGTTCCAAGACCTGTCACTCTGCTCCACCTCTCCAAAGCCAGGGACTTCCCAGGGTGAACCTGTCCTGGTGCCAACACCTACCAGGTTAGACGGTGGCTCAGCACCCAGTGACGGGACAGAACGCTCGTGACCATGTCCTTTTTTGATGCCAGCCTAGGAACTGGGAACAAGGAGCCCCTCCCTCCTTTATGCTCCTGTGACTAACTGAGACATGGCTTCCTGCCCCCTCCCCTCAGCCTCATCATTTCCTCTCACCTCACATCCTGGCAGGCACCTGGCTCCTTAGCTCTTGTCCCAAACCCCAGTCATTGGTTTCAGTGGTGACTCAACTCGGCTTCCCCTTGCAATGAGCTTGCCCTCTGTCTCGTTCACTGTTCTATTGCTGTGAAGAGACACCACAACCAAGGCAACTCTTATAAAAGATAGCATTTAATTGAGGGTCATCATGGCAGTGGGGGAGGGGAAAACAATGGGGTGGGCATGGCGGGGGCATGGTGGCATTCACCATGGTGCTGGAGCAGTAGCTGAGAGCTATGTCCTGATCCAAAGGCAGAAAGCAAGTGACTGAGCCGGGAATTTTCTTTCCAAGCCTCAAAGCCCACTCCCAGGGACACACCCCCTCCAACAAGGCCACACCTATATGAGCCCATGGGGGGGCGCTCTTATTCAAACCACCCCCTCTTCTGTGCTCACCCTCAAACCCCTGTTTGACTTCCAGATCTCAGAGAGCATCAGCTATGAGAAACTCAAAATGCGAGACACCCTAGAGAAGGAAAAGAGGAGAATACAGGACCTGGAGAACCGCCTGACCAAGCAGAGAGAGGTATGACTCTCAGATGAGAGGCCCATGGCGCCCACGGACCTGCCAGGCCCTGCAGCCAGGCAGTCAGGGTTCAAATCCTCCTCCTGCTGTGGGACTTTAGGAAAAGTCACTCACTGTCTTCTGGGCCTTGGTCTCCCACATATGACATACAGCCAGTCTCATTCAGTGGTGAGACACAACACTGATCACAGCACATAGACAGACCCATACACATAAAATGAAAGTAAACCTTTTTTTTTTTTTTAAAGTCTACCATGAATCAATAGATAAACTACACTTTTATTCCAGCAGTAACAGGGCAAGGAAAAACCTGCTCGTTGTGCAGTCACCACACAAAACCAGAGCAAGCACAGCAGGGCTATTAGTGCAAGACAGTCATCCCAGCTATTCAGGAGGCTGAGGTAGCTGGAGACCAGTCTCGGCTGCAAAGTGAGCTCACAGCTAGCTTGGAAACCTGATAAGACCCCGTCCCAAAATCAAAAGTAAAAGCAGAACTAAAGACACAGTTCAAAGATACAGCACTTCTCTAGGCCCTGGGTCCAAGCCCACAGCAAAATGTCAAGCACATGGAAGATGAAGCTCTTCCAGGTGCCAGCCCCACAGAGCACCTCCAGCAAGGGCTGTCCTCAAAAGAATTCCGCAGGACAACAAGAAACATCCATAGCGGCAGCCTTAGCTCAGGACACCAAAAGACAGTCACTGGGAGACCTCAGAACTGGCAGGTGACAGCAAACTCATCAGGAGGAGCAGTAACACCCCACCCCGAAAGGACCCACCATGCACTAGGACAGAGCACACAACTTCAAAGCAGACATTGTGTGATTCTGGTGGGGATTCTGCAGACCACCCTCCCCCTCCAACCTCAAACCCAGGAAACAAAAACAAAAATGGACAAGTTAAAAGCTTCCGGGAGAGGAAACAGTGCGCAGAGGTAGCCCCCAGACTGGACAGGAAATACTTGCCAGACACGGGTCTGGTTAATCTCTGAGCAATCTGAGGAATTCAGATAGCTTAATGCAAAGACAGCCAGTGGCCCATCTGAAACACACAGGTACCCGGCAGACTGGTTTGTTTTGTTTTATGGTGCTGGGGAATGGAGCCCAGGGCCTCACACACTGGCCAGGTGCCCTTCCGCTGAGCTACATCCAACTTTATTTTTGAAATGGCCTCTCACTAATTTGCCCTAATTGACCTTGAACTCAGCCTGGGAACAGTAGGGTTTGTATTTTTCTTTTTTTGCTGTTTTCTTTTCTGATCACAAACAGCCCCTTTCCTCCTGGAATATTTGATAAATACAGAAAATCTCTCAGAAGGGCCTCAACATTGACCCTGCTTCTGCACAGCCGAGCTATTATGGCTGACATTCAGATGTGATGCTCACTGGGATGTCTTTGTGCTGTTATCATGGATGTGGGTGACGCAGACTCGTTACCAAGATAGTGGCATGCTGCCTACTGCTTTGGGAACTATTTTGATAACATTACATATTTCTCAAACATCTCCATGTCACTGAACCACCTCCCACTGCCTGCCACTGAAGAATGTCCTTAAGCACAATAACCTGAGTTCAATCCCCAGAAACCACATAAAAAAGCCAGGCATGGGAGCTGGAGATATGGCGCAGCGGTTAAGAGCATGTAACTATGCTTGCAAAGGGCCTGAAATGGATTACCAGCACCCATGTTGGGTTGCTCACAACCACCAGGAACTCTGGCCCCAGGGGTATTCAATGCCTCTGGCCTTGAGCACCTATCATGTGGACACACATAGACACAGACACACACACACACACACACACACACACACACACACACACACACACACACACAAATTCTGGGAGTCAAAAACAAAAAGATTCCTGACATTTGTTAGCCAGTTAGTCTAGCCTAATTGGTGAACTCCAGTCCAATTAGAGACCCTGTCTCAAAAGCAGTAGATCACATTTCTGAGCATGACACCTGAGGTTGTCCACATACTAGTGTGATCATGCACATGCATGCACACACACACACACACACACACACCTGTACATACATGTGTACCCATGCATTCTCATACCACATTTTAAAAAATGTTTGGGACCAACCTCAGCACAGGGCCTGGCAGGAGCACATACTCCAGTCCTTAGAGGGGGGGTCTCCAAGGGAACAGAAGGATTGTGATAAAAAACGGATGAAGGGGTTTCCAGGGGAGGCATAAGCCATGCCAAAGACTTAGCAACTGGGATCCTTTCTGGCCTGGGACCTGGAGTGCATGAGTGTCTCCAGGGCAGGTTATGTGGTGAAGGGTAAAGACACTCAGCACATTTATCCTGGAAAATAGATTTATAGAGAGACATGACAACCCTCCTCAAATATTTAAAGGGCTGTCTCATAAAAGAGAAATAAAACTGAGTCAAGGGTGACAGAATGGGGCTCAGAGACCAGAAATCAAGGAGACGGATCTCTTCTGACAATAAAAAGGAGTTCCGCAGTAATTGGAAACTTCCAGAAAATCCTTGGGCTTTGGACTCAAGACACATCAAGGGTGGAGTCTGTGTCCTCTCTAACAGCCTGGGGGAATAAGGACAGAAGGGTAAATATTTAATCCCCAGACCTTGTTAGCTTGGTGTTTGCTGTTTGTCTAGGAGATAGAATCAAAGGGACAGAAAGAGGACATCTTAAATAGTAAATTAAACGACGCCCTGGCCATGGTGGAGGAGACTCAGCGGATGAAGACAGCCGAGAGTCTCAAAGCCGAGAGCCTCGCCCTCAAGTTAAATGAAACATTAGCCGAGCTCGAAACGACCAAGACAAAAATGGTGAGTTGATCTGAAAATGGTAAGCTTCCGCCATGGAGGAGGGCAGCACATGACTTGTGGGCGGGGCCATCCCTGGGCTGGTGGCCCTGGGTTCTATGAGAAAGCAGGCTGAGCAAGCCGCAGGGAGCATAGCTTCTGCACCAGCTCCTGCCTCCAGGTTCCTGTCCTGACTTCCCTCAGCAGTGGAGGGTGACCTGAGAGCACCATCGCAGAAATAGAAATCCTAACTATGACACAGTAGTGGAAAAGAGGGGGTAAGGGAGGTTGAGACCTGGCCTGCCCCGCCTCCACCTCGGACTTTCTGGGCCAGGTACCTTTCTTCTCAGGGACTTTCCTGTGCTTTGTGGACATAGACAGCATTCTCCCCACCCCCAGCTGAGACAGATACTGCCAAATGTCCCTTAGAGGCATAAATCACCCCTGTTGGGAAAGATCACCTTGCTGGGCCTGATGAGACAGGCTTGTAATCCCAGCTCCTCTGGAGGCTGAGAAAAAAGAAGAAATACATTCAAGGTCTGCCAGGGCTCCAATGTGAGTTCAAAGACCAGCAGGGCAACTTGATTAGGGCCCTGCCTCAAATAAAATAAATTTGGGGATCTGGAGAGATTGCAAAACATCCACGCTTGTGGGATGCTGGGAGGCCAATGTCCAGCATATCCAGGAGCAGAGCAAGGCAGGCCGAGAGGCGCTGGGGTGCAGACATCAGGAAGCGTCAGAGAGTGGAGGGCAGTCACGGCGGTGGCTGATTTTCTAAGAGAATTTGTTGGTAATTTTAGTTGATAAGAATTGCAGTGCAGGGGCTGGAGAGATGGCTCAGTGGTTGAGAACACTTCCAGAGGACCCCGGTTCAATCCTCAGCACCCACATGGCAGCTCACAGCTGTCTATAACTCCAGTTCCAGGGGATCTGACACCTTCACACCAATGCATATAGAATAAATTTAAATAAATTATTTTTTTAAAAAAGAATTACAGTCCATACTTATACTCTCAGCAGCAGAGAGGCAGAGACTGGCAAATCCCTGGGGCTCACTGACCAGCCAACCGAGCCTACATGGTAAGTTACTGGTCAGGAAGAGATCCTATCTCAATAAAAAAGGTAAATGACAGCTAAGGTCGTCCTCTGACCTCCACATACAGGATACATACAAATAAATACAAATTGGTTTGCGCTTTTCTCATCCAACTGTTCTCCATTCATTAGTTTTGTTTTGTTTTGTTTTGTTTTGTTTTGTTTTGTTTTGTTTTCCGAGACAGGGTTTCTCTGTGTAGGGCTGGCTGTCCTGAAACAGGCTCAAACTCACAGAGATCCACCCACTTCTGCCTCCCGAGAGCTGAGATCAAAGGCATGTGCCACCACTGCCTGACTCATGAATCCTTTTTTCAAAGATGCATGTATTTTTATTTTATATGTATGAGTGTTTGGCCTGTATTTGTGTCTGTGCACTACTATGGGTGTACCTGGTTCCCATGGAAGCCAGACTAGGGCGTTGGATCCCTGGAACTAGAGTTATAGACAGTTGTGAGCCACCACATGGGTGCTGAGAACTGAATCCAAGTCCTCTGGAAGAGCAGCCAGTGCTCTTAATCGCTGATCCATCTTTTCAACATGCGCGCGCGCGCGCGCACACGCACGCACGCACACACACACACACACACACACTATTCATTAATTCTCATCAAGCATCTGAGTCTAGGTGCTGTGGGTACACCAGTAAGTGCAGGCAAGGATTTTGCTGTATGGAGCTGAGACTCTCGCAGGAGAGAGAAACAAAAAACCAAAGGCTACTTCAAGTGTTGAAGGTCTCGGGGAGAAGAAAACAAATACAATAGAAACTGTCTAGGACTCCCCTATGAACACATGTCCATGAATTTCCTCTAAAGAGGTAATTAAGCCTAGAAGACAGACTGCTCAGCCATACTGGGAGGGTGAAGGTTGCCAGCAGGGACACACCTGCAGAGGCTCTCAGGTAGGGTGCAGTTGAGCATCTGTGTGTGCAAATGAGGCAGACTGCTGCCACCTACCCCAGCCCCCCCCCCAGGTTACTTCTCCCTCCCTGGTTCCCCAGATCATTCTGGAGGAGCGGCTCAAGCTGCAGCAGCAGTCGATGAAGGCCCTGCAGGATGAGCGGGAATCCCAGAAGCACGGCTTCGAGGAGGAAATCACTGAGTACAAAGAACAGATCAAGCAGCACTCGCAGACCATCGTGAGCCTGGAGGAAAGGCTCTGCCAAGTGTCCCAGCACCACAGGAAAATTGAAGGGGAGATCGCCACGTTAAAAGACATCGAGCCAGGTAGGGCTGGGGCTGTGAGAAAAACCCAACCCCTGCGTGGTCCCAGGTTGGGCCGCATCTGAAAGCTCCCTCACTCTCTGTTGGCCCCCTTTTGCTCCTCAATGCACATGATGTTTGAAGCCCTCCAAGGCCTAACAGAACCAAAGTAACGACAATGAGTTAGGACATCCTTTATGCTGACCCAGTGAGCCAGCAAGGCACACGGGCAGACAGAGCTATTAGTGGCGTTGTCTTTTCCACATGAAAACCTGAATCAATCCAGGGCCATCTCTGTGGCCACTGGCCACTGTGACCTTACTAACAGCTCTCCTGGACAGCCAGGACTGGCCTCCTACCAAATAAACCCAAAGAGGCTAAAAACAGCAATCAGAGTTACACCACTCACTCACCCTAAATGACCCAGGTCACTCATGACAGATGCTAAGCGCTGGGTGGAAAGTTCTGGAAGCCGAGGCCCCAGGCCCTAGGTGTCAGCGTCAGCACTGCTGGTGTTTTGGCGCTGGATAAGCTTTGCTTGGGGGCAGGGTGCCTGCTTTAGCTATATCCCCTGATCTCCACAACTAGCCTCATTTCTCTTCTGCCTCATGGCCAAGTGTCCCCAAGTGTCACCAAAGTTCTCCCAGAGGTGAGCTCGCCCCCAGTGGGAGACACGGAGTTCAGGCTTACCTCAGCACAATTTGTATTCTCCTCTTATTTGCACATCGATGATACCCCAACTTCCTTTAGGCGCTAGAGATCCATGGTAGACTATCCACAACTATCCCTGTGAGTAACAAAGCTAGTGCCCTGACAATGACTTGGGGTAAGCAGGGCCCCACAACAAGGGCACAGAGCAGGCTCTGTCTCCTAAGCCAGAATTCAGGTAAGAGTGAGGCTACTCAATGGGACCTAAGGGTGGCAGCATCTATGTCATTTCTGCCCTTAGACAAGTGTCTGCCATAAAATTGTTGGGTGAATAATCAACTGAGCAAGAATTGGAAAGCCGGGGACATTGGACAAAGGAGTGGGCAGGGGAGATGGGAGACTGAACACATGAATTCTTTTAAGGTTTTTGTCTAGAAGGAGAAAAGGACAGGAGGTGTGACCCTCTTGAAGCTTGGCTGGGCCATTGCCATCAGGTCCCTCATCCTCAAATCGCTTCCTTGTCTGTAAATGTTACTGGTGACCCCTGCCACACCCAGCAGCCAGGAAAAGCTCATGACCATATCAGCCCACTCTCTGTTGTTGGCAGCCCAGTCTTAGGAGTGGGAAAATAAGAAAAGATGTTTAGTTGGAGGTTAGGTTCAAGGTGGTTCTGGTGATGGCCTTGACAGCAGAGCCCTGAGAAAGCACAGGGTGTCATATGCCAAGAGACAAGGGGTGTGCAAAGTTTGGGGTGTGGCTCAGTGGGTAGAGTGCTGGCCTGGCAAGCAGGAAGACCTGGGTGCCATCTGTCACCACATAAATGGGATCTAGTGTTGCATGCCTGTAACCTCAGCACTGGGGAGGTGGAGGCAGGAGGATCAGAAGTTCAGAGCCATCCTTAGCTACATAGTGAGTTTGGGGCCAGCCTGGGCTACATGAGTCTCTGTTTTTAAAAACACAAGAAAATAGGAAAGAATGAGAGACAAGGAATGCGAATGTGTCTGCCCCCTGGGCTCCACTATGGGGTCTCCTCTAATCTACTCACTCCTCTAACACCCCAGTGAGACCAAGCCTCCACCTTCTTAAACCTTACAGTGGGGATTAAATATCAACACAGCATGTCAGAGGACACAAGACACATCCAGACTTCACACCCGGAGTGACAACCTCGGCCTGTGACACCATACATGTGGGGAGTCTCAGGATAGACTCCCGACTCACAGGAGAAGGGAAAGGGGAAGTCCACTGCCTATGGACTGTGATGATATTGACACGCACCCCCTCTAATGCAGCTCAAAAGGAGGAAGTACCCCAAGAGCTCACAGCAGGACCCCCACTGGACAGCATCACCAAACAAGTAGCGTGCGACCACCTGATGTAAGTGCCAAGGCGGGTCTCAAGGCATTGAAGGAGCAGGAACATGACCAGATTTGTGTTCTCAGGGTTGCTTAGATTTCTCAGTTCCTGTTGCAAGTGAGGATGATGTGGTGGGGAGATCCACCCTTGGTGGCCTTGCAGTCCTGAGTGAGTCAGACTGCCTCCCTGAGCAGCTGCCTTTGTAGGAGGTGCATGCCTACAGCTTGGTGATTGTGGGCAGGTGCAGTGATTTGCTTTCTGTCGTGAACCCCCCCGGGGAGAATCTCATTCTTATGATCCACGCTGACAGTGCCAACCACTTACAGAGGAGAGTTCTGGAAAGGGTCAACAGCTTGCCAGATAGATGCCTTGGCAAAAGGGCACTCGATGCCAAGCCTGACAGCCCCAATGTGATCCCCAGAACCCACACGGTAGAAAGAGAGAACAGAGTCTCCCAGGCTGTCCTTTGACCTCCACAAGTACAGTGTGGCACACACACACATACAAAATAGATAGATAAAATATATGGAGTAGATTGCACTAAATGACCCTAGCTAATGAGCTCTCATCTCCAACCCTAACAGTCAAGGAGTCTATGGAACCTCAAGGAACTGATAATTTTTGAAAAAACAAAACCTATCTGTGTCTAGGTGTGGTGACACACACCTCTGACCCCAGTGCTCAGAAGTGTGCATAGGAGGTCAACCTGGGCTATGTAATGACTGGAAAACACAAAATGGGCTTGGAATGTAGCTCAGTGGTGAAGCACTGGTCTTACATGTGTGAGGCCCTGGGCTGGATCTAGTACCACTAAAAATTAAGCAATAAATAGAATAGTCCAAAAGGCTACTACAGAGCAATATGTAAACAAGGAGGCATTAAATCTTCATTCCAAGAAAGACAGAGGCACCTCTGTGTGTGTGTGTGTGTGTGTGTGTGTGTGTGTGTGTGTGTGTGTGTGTGTGTGTGTAGCCTGGGCCTTCCAAATGCCAAACTGATAGGCCTCAATACTACCTTCTACTCAGTACCATCCTTCCCCTAATACAAGTGCACACAAAAGTGTGTATCCCATCCAGGTCCCTCATACTCCCTCAAATGCACAGCTCAACTTCCAGTTACTGCCCCATTCCTCGCAAGCCTATATGCTGTGGTCCCAGTGAGTGCCTGTCCTGTGAAGCACCCTTCCAATGGGGACAGCAATTCTCATGATATCAAACATGCCATCTATCCGTTGTTCACCATTCCTGTGTCTCCTTTATTGCCTGGTCCCCAGTGCCCAGGATCCCAGTGTGCCAGTAAACAAACAGAAAGTCCTTGTCTCCCCGCCATCCTCATGAAAGCCCTGAACACCCCCCCCAATAGTCTTTCATCTTCTTCCCACAAAACCCACTGCCTGTCAATCAGTGTTGATAGGTCCCATGGCTGGGCTGGGGTCCCAAGGTTCATCCCTAGCCATTTTGAGCGTTTTTCTCTGGGTCCTGCTTTCTAGTCCCCTCAGGAGTCACCAGGGATGTTGAGCACAGCTGACTGGGCCTGTTATTGTTGTTGAATTACAGAGATGACTTACTGACTGCTCAGAAGGAAATCCTATCTCAGCAGGAGATCATCATGAGGCTGAGGACAGACCTCAATGAAGCCCATGGCAGGATGTCAGACCTGAGAGGTTGGTCTGAGTTCCTGGGTCACTTGACACCCTGACCCTCTCAGGAAGGAAGTGAAGGCAGACTCAGCAGCCTTGTTCTCGGAGCATCTTGGGGACCTGCTTTCCGGTGTACCTGCAGCCCCATCACCCAGGGACCACATACACTTGGTGGACCTTTATCATCAATATTTTCTAATGCAGAGCATTCTCCACCCCTGGGAGGGCAGTAGTGAGGTTTGTCCCAGGGCTGGGCCCTTTGCAGGAGCCTGGGTGCAGTGTGGAGGGCCTCACGAGCCTCCTCTTCATCATGCGAAAAGACCACACATTCCTTCCTCATTGGCCCACCCAGCGTAGGAGTGTCACACACCCTCCTGCACGGAATACAGCCTGGCTCAGTCCCTCCTGTGGCTCAGTTTCCCCATCCTTCCTCTCAATTCATATGGCCTCCTTCTCTTCCCTATCCCTAGCCTCTGGAAGGACAAAAAGTCCAGGCAGGATTTGAGAGGTAACAAGACTAGATTCCAGAAGTGGGAGATGGGAAAAAGGAGAGAAGGAAGGATGGAGGGAGAAAGCCAGCCTCTGACATCCCCAAACACTCAGGATTATTTGCTCCCTGAGAAATGATATGGTATAGAGTCAGAGCCCATTCCTGAACCTGATCACCATTAGGTCCTGGACGTAGACAAGACTCTGCCTCTCTGAGCCTCAGTGTCCTGAGTCTGTGAAGAGGGAATGCTAAGGGCAATTCCCCTGTGACCTGCAATTGAAGAGTGAAGGAAGTGCAAAGGTCTTAGTGTGGGTTCTCCCAGCAGTGGAGCCTAAAACTGGAACTCCACTACAACCTGTCTGCTCAAGCCATAACCCCAGTAAATGCTGGCAGTGAAGTAGAGCTTGAGCCAAGGGAAAGAAAATGAAGTGCCCAGAACTATAGGACACTGGGGTGCCTGGAACTGATTCTACCAGAGAGAGCTAAGAACAGGGACAGCTGTCTGTGCCAGCTGTGGATTAAACACTGTTGTACCTGGCAGGAACATAGCCCAAAAGAGTCCAGGGGCCTGAGAACACCCCTGGGCAAAAAGATAGAGGCAGCTGGGTATGTGGCTCAGTTGGAGTACTTGCCTAGCGTGCATGAGGACCCAGGTTCAAATCCCAGCACTAAATGAAAGTGAGCTGGTGTCACACACCTGTGATCCCGGCACTGAGGAGGTATAGACAGGAGGATTAGAAGTTTAAGGCCATTGCTGGCTATATAAAGAGTTGGAGACCAGCCTAGGATACATGAGACCTTGTCTGAAAACAAAAGAATAAACAAAAAGACTCAGAAGCAGGTAGCTGATATTGGCCAGGGTGTCCTAAAAGACCAGGGGGACAGCAAGTGCTGGCATAACACCACCGTAGTGAGGCAGAAGCAGGGGGCTCATTGTGCCACCTAACGTCACACGCTAAGGCTCTGGCGGAGCTCCCAGGAGGCACTTGAGCCCCTGAGAACCCCGGGGCAAACCTGTCTTGTGGGTCTCGTAGGGCTGTCAGATAGGCCATGACACAGATCTGAGGTGGAAAACCACTCACCAACTTCCTGTCACTCCCAGGGGAGCTAAGTGAGAAGCAGAAGATGGAGTTGGAGCGGCACGTGGCCCTGGTTCAACAGCTGAGCAGCGAGCTGAGCATGCTCAAAGTGAAGGTGGTACAGGCAAGCGGCCTGGTGGAGAAGAAAGACCGGGAACTGAAGGTCCTCAGGGAGGCGCTCAGGTGTGGGAATGGGTCCGTGTGGTGGGGCCACCCCGAGGCGTCTGGCACACAGAGAGAGGGCTCAGTAAATGCTGGCTGAATCAGACCTGGGGGGGGGGGGAATGAGTGGTAGCATTACATGGCTCCGGAGACTCATTAATTAATACAGCTGTGCTGGGTTCTGAACGGGCATCCTCCCAGGTGACTGGGCTCAGCCTAAATGCAGGAAGTCTGAAAGAATTCAGATACCTGTGAAAAATAGTTTTACTTCTGGGTTACGGAGGGATGCAAAGGTCCGTGAACCCTGAGCTGCCTGACACCTGTGATGTCCCTCCCTGCCCCAGGGCTTCCCAAGAGAAACACAGACCCCACCTGAGCTTGGAGCAAAAGCCTAGGAATCTGAGCCAGAAGTGTGACATCTCATTGCAGATAGAACCAGTGCACCCAGATACATTCTCCAGCTTGCAAGAGGTCAGTGTCTGGGACTGCAGCTTGGGGCAAGACTGGAGCTCCAGGCAGGACCAGGGCCCTAGGCAGGTCCAGGCTTTGGGTGACACTCAAAAGCCCAAGGGTTAAAGTCTTCTAAAAGTATTACTCATTCGCATGAAATGAGAGAGTAAGACAGAGTCCTGCCCCATAATCACAGTCGCCATGGTTACACTATCAACAATGGAGACAGTGCCAGCAGCTCTCTCCCCTGAGCCCACCACCACGTCTTCCTACAATCAGGGATCGTAGTGGTGGCTGGGTAGTGGTTGGCTATCTACCATGCATCAAGTCTGCCTGGGGTTGAGTTCCCACCCCTTTACATAGAAAGTCCGTGTCCCTAGGGAAGTCACTGTGTGCCTGTTCCCTCCTCTGAGAATGGTTGGGAAGCACATTTTATTTATGCATACCCACAAACACATCTGGTAGGAAGTTTTCTGGTAATTCTTCAATTTGTTCATCTCTCTCTCTCTGCCTCTTTCTCGTGTGTGTGTGTGTGTGTGTGTGTGTGAGAGAGAGAGAGAGAGAGAGAGAGAGAGAGAGAGAGAGAGACATGTATGGAGGCCAAAGGAGAACATTGGCTATCAGCTATCTGGCTCTAACTGTCTTATCACCCTTGAGACAGGGTCCCTTGCTGAACCTAGAGCATACCATCTTATTTTTCCTGCAGAGCTGATGAGCAAACCTATTTCCAGCTTTGGGGTTACAGGTGCATGCAGCCATGCTTAGCTTTTGTAAATGGGTGCTGGAGATCTGAACTCAGTTCCCTAATGCTTGCAAAACAAGCTGTCTTAACCACTGAGCCCATCTTCCCAGCCCACAAATACTATTGGACTGGTATCTTTTCAACTAAGTCTATAAAAGTCCACTTTGTTTGTTTATGTGGCTGCTTATAATTCCATTGTGTGCCCATTTTATCTAGCCAGTCCCCAGATGACGGAGAGTCCAGCTGTGTCCCCCTTAACCTGGTGCTGTAATTAGTATAAGTTGTCCAATCATGTTTAGCCATGAAGTTGCTGGGGCCAAGGGGCTTCCTAAACTGTGCAGCACAGAACCAAATGGCCTTCCCAGAGAGCCATGCGGTTAATATGACCCACACACACATCAGGGCAGTCACTTGATAGGTCTCTCTGTGTGGTTGCCCGAAAGTCCCAGATGCTCATCCAGTAAGAATCATGTCTGAGAGAGAACAGTCTCCCTCAGGTGGTCCTCAACACCAATGCTCACACTCTGTCCCCATGCCTGGCGCAGTGACATTTGCCTAGTAAGTAGGCTGACTGTAGAGCTCAGTGGTTCCTTGAGGCCTCTGATTCCTAGAGTCCAGCCCAGAACAACCTTTTCCTTTCACTTCGAGAAACCAGAGAATGAATCATCTGCAAAAGAAACAAGGCCAAATGTGTCAGCAAAGACTCTACCCCTGCCAGACAGCCGCAAGCCAGGGCTTCAGGCAGCCAGGATGAAAGGGCTTGAGGTCCAGCCAGCTGTCCCTGGCACTGAGTACTGTCCAGAGAACATTAATAGAAGGGGCTCCCATTGCTCAGGGCAACCAGGAGGAGGAGTGCAATGGTCCAGGTGGCTGGAAGCTATGCTGGGCAGGAAATGTCAATCCTGTTGGAATCATGAGCCCTCAACGCAAGATCTGACCCATGATGGCTATTGAGTACCTGCGTGTATCAGGCCTTGTGCTAGAGACAGGGAATGGTTTACAGATGCCCTACACATCACACACACACACACACACACACACACACACACACACACACACACACACACACACACGTGTTCCATGGGGAGACCTGTTGAATGGTGGCTTTTTGTTCCTCTATCCAAGTTGAGGTTGATGGGGGAGGGAGGATGCAAGATAAAAGGCAAAAAATGTCCCTTCTTGGAACAGTGGTCCTTGCCCAGGCTACTTCCTGTTTCCAAAGCCAGAGAGGGTCAGAGGGCTAGGGAGTTGTATGAGAAAGAATCTATGTCCTCTCTGGCAAGAGTTCCCAGAGGAGCGTGAGGAGGGTCACATGGTGCTTCCTCTCCCATGAAAGAGTCTGGCCTGGCTGCTGAGCCTGCCCATCTGTCCCAGTGCAGCATCTGCCAGCTTCTATCCAGTAGGAGGGAGCATTCAGGTGGTTCCTTCCAGGACAAACGGATGCCCTCCAGTAGGTGAATGAGACCCGCACAGAACCAAGCCCTAAGGTGGTCCAGCTCCAGGTCAATACACCAGACCAGTTAGGTCCCCTCAGCCACCCAGCAGCCCTGGCACTATCGGAGGCCGGGGGGAGGCTCCTCACTCCTGGCAGACTTTTCCCATCTTGAGCACCAGTCTCCACTGAGGCATGCCTTGCCCTCTGGAGCCTGTGTGCTGTGCAGGAAGGGAGGAGACAGAAAGGAAATGGTCAGTATAGAGTAAAATGTCCTAGGGACAAGGTGGGGTCAAGTGGCTTGAGGAACTATTATGGCAGGACTTGAGACTGTCCTAGTTTGCTTTCTATCACTGTGATAAACACTCTGACCAAACACCATTTAGGGAGGAAAGGGTTCATTTCATCTTACAGCGTACTGTTGTTCATCATGGAGGAAGTCAGAGTAGAAACTCGAGGCAGGAACCTGGAGGCTGGAAGTAAAGCAGAGGCCATGGTGGATGCTGCTTGCTTTTCCTGCCTTGCTCACCCTGCTTTCTTCGTCTTATTTTATGTACATTGGTGTTTTGCCTGCAGGTATGTCAGTCCAAGGGCATCAGATTCCCCAGAGCAGAAGTTATAGATTACTGTAAACTCCTATGTGAGTGCTGGGAATTGAACCCAAGTCCTCTGGAAGAGCAGCCAGTGGTCTTAATTGCTGAGCCATCTCTCCAACCCATCACCCTGCTTTCTTATACACCCCAGGACCGTCTGGCCCCAGGTAGCACTACCTGAAGTGGGCTGGGCCCTCCCATGCCAATCATTGAAATCATTGATCAAGAAGATGCCCCACAGACCAGTGTGATAGAGGCATTTTCTCACTTGAGGTACCCTCTTCCCAATGACAACAACAAAAAGAGAAAAGAAAAAGAAAAAGGAATGAAGGAAGGAAGAAAAGACTGACCAGCACAATAGATGAGAGCATCATAGGAAAGAGGTCCTCTCTCAGCACCTGTGGTAAGAGGCCTCCACAGGGGGAAATTTGGAGCAGAGCCAGAAAGAAGTAACAGTGTGAGTGACAGAAACACCAAGGAGAAGAGAGTGTTCCCACCAGGTCCTCAGACTGCATTGCCGAGCCCCCTGGAGGAGGAGCCTGTGGGCCTTGAACACCTCCCAGGGAGCCGGTTCGACTAGGTCAGAGTCTGGGACCCATCATCCTATTGACTTTTAAAGAAACAACCAGAGTCAGCAGAGGAGAACATGCGACTCTCTGTCCCTGGGCTCTGTCGGTGGGTGGGTATCTCATTCACTGATGCTAGGGTATCCAATGCTCACGTGTCTGGTTCGCAAAGTCCAGGCCCACGGGAGAAGCTTAGCTTGGGTCTTTGCCGGAGGTGTCTAGCAAAGGGGATGAGGGGATGGGGGCGATGAATACGAATGAGAATATGGATAACTAGTAATGGACTGATAGACACAGGGCCAGGTACGAAGCTCAGCCGGAAGGGTGCTTGTGGAAGACACAAAGCCTTGAGAGCACGCTGTAATACCACAGAACCGAAACACAAAAGTACACGCCTGACATCCCAGCACTCAGGAGGTGGAGACAAGAGGACCAGGAGTTCAAGGTCATCTTTGTCTACATAGGAAGTTTGAGGGCAACCTGGGCCATGTGGAATCCTGTCTCAAGGAAAAATTTAAAACAGGAGAAACATCTTTAAAAAAAGAAATAGAGGCAGAGATGCCTAGCTATATAAAGTTTTAATAACTTCAGTTCACCTCGTGCTATATATGCTCCCTTCAGTATCTATAGCTGCAATCTAAAATGAACCAAGAGTTGCTATTTTTAAAATAGTTAGAAAAGAGACTTTGTTTCTTCCCATTCTTGCCAGCTTGGCTAAGGCCTCCCCCTAGCAACTGTCTGACAACTGAAAATCACTTGAAGCACCCCATCCCTGGTTCCCACTTAATTACCCGTGTGACATTTGTCCCGGTCTACTAGGTCTCTCCCTATGTACCCTCCCCGCTGTCTGTCTGCTCATACCAGGATACAAGACCCATGGAGCCTGAGAGCCTGGAGCAAGCTTAGCAGGCCGAGGTGGGGAATGAATGAATGAGTGAGTGAGTGAATGAAAAACCGAGACAGGATCTCATGTAACCCAGCCTGGCCTCAAACTCATATGTAGACAAGAAGGACCTTGAACTTCTGATCCTTCCACAAACGCCACTCCAAGTGCTGGGATCACAGGCACATATCACCTTGCTCAGTTTATACAGTGCTGGGGATGGGGCTCGGACTTGGAGCATGTGGATAAGCACTCAGTTATGACTGTGTGTGTTTCCTCATTGTTCTACAGGAAAAAAAAAAAAATCCTACATTCTCCTGAATCCTTTTTGTTTGTTTGTTTTGTGTGTGTTTTTGTTTTTTCAAGACAGGGTTTCTCTGTGGCTTTGGAGCCTGTCCTGGAACTTACTCTGTAGACCAGGCTGGCCTTTAACTCACAGAGATCCGCCTGCCTCTGCCTCCCAAGTGCTGGGATTAAAGGTGTGTGCCGCCAGTGCCCAGCTCCTGAATTCATCTTTCAAAGACTTTCCCTGTCTGCGTCCTGAGTAAAGCTCACTCTAGTCTCTGAGGGTCCCGTGGGGCCACATGTGGCCAGCACCTATCATACCATACGAGGCAGGCATGGAATATTCTATTGTAACAGAAAGTTTTTCTGGACTGGCCACTCTAGAGATCCTGGAGTCTCAGAGCTCTCTCCAGACCAACCAAGTGCCAGGCTGCCCAGTACCCCAAACAGACAGGAGAAAACCATCCTTGTGACCAGTGTCAAAGGAAACCACATAGGGCATACAGCTGAGCTTATTGTGTATGAGAACTGGGTTCCATCCTCAGCACCACAGAAGGGAAAAGGGGAAGAAAACAGTAAAAACGCACCCCTAGAACTAGAACTGCAGGGGCTGGAGAGAGGGCTCAGCAATTAAGTATCCTGGGGCTCTTGCATGGGCCTTCAGTTCTACTCCCAGCATCTGCATCCGGCAGCTCACAACCACCTGAACTCCACCTCTGTGGGACCTGATGTGCATGCGAGCACACACACACACACACACACGCACACGCACATGCACACACATGTACACACACATACCACCATTAAAGATGATGAAGCACACACACATACACACCACTGTTAAAAGTAATTTTTTAAAAATTATTTTTAAAAAGTTACTACTCAGAACAAGATCAGATTTTTTAACAAATGGAGACTCAAAGCTGGGTGTGATGACACACATCTTTAAACCCAGCATTCAGAAGGTTGGCAGATCTCTGAGCTCTGGTCTACATAGTAAGTTCCAGGACAGCTAGGACTACTTAGAAAGACCCTTTCCCCCCCCCTAAAAAAAATTAAGAAAGAAAAAAGAAACAGAGATGCAGGCATGAGAGACCATTAGAAGAAATAAAGTCTGCAGAGAAGGAGTCTAGGGGATGTTTCATTTATGATGCCACTAAGTAGGAAGAGGAGTTGGAAATCCTTCTACAGGGGCTGGGATGAAAAATGGAAACCCTTTCTCTGCTGAAGCACTTGTGATATTTCCCAGAAGTGCTGAAAGACAGGGTTTCTGCTGAACAGGCATTGTTCATGTCCCTGGGAACCTGAGGGAAGTAGCTGGACCCTTATAGAGCTGCTGTCTGTGCCACCCTGTCTCCAGGAGCAGTCCTTCAGTGACCTGGGGGCCAAGTGCAAAGGGTCTCGACACGAGGAAATCATTCAGCGGCAGAAAAAGGCCTTGTCGGAACTCCGGACACGAATCAAAGAACTAGAGATGGCCAGCTCCTCCAGTAAGTTCTCCGCTCCTTAGTCCCAGCTTGGGGGCCCCAGAGCCTGGTGTGCTCCTTGGGGACCAACTGATTGGCCAGGATGCCCCCGTCATCTCATAAGCGGAAAGACACTCTAACACTAACAGTGATGGGCCAGGCCCCGCCTCAGAGTCAAATGCAGGCCCTGATGTTAAATAAATAGGACATGAAAAACTCACTACTGTCCTCCTCCTTATTTCACCGTGGCCTGGTGGGAACTTCGTCATGGTCTAATGCTACCTGAAGATGAGCCCTGGGGTTGTCTCTTTGAGTTCCCCATTCAGAAAGGCTCAGAATGAGCAGCTGTTGACTGAGCAAGGCGCTGGGTACCAGGTATCCCAGGACAGATCCCATCTCCATCTCTGTGCCTGAAAGGCCTTAGGCGAAGTTCACTTCTGCAGTGACAGCTTTGTGGCCAAAGCCTCATGCTCATTGTGTGGCCTTGGGCAGATCGTTCAATGTCTCTAAGCCTTGGTTTCCTCTTCTACCAGGGAGGTCGTGAGGACTAAAACGGCCCTATGGTAAGTGACCTGTAAGTTGTAGCTACTGTGACGATGTGAAGTTATGTCTTCCTGAGTCTAAATTATTTCTTTTGTAGATCATAAGGACCACGCGAATGAATCGTTCCTAGAACTAAAGACCCTCAGAATGGAAAAAAATGTACAGAAAATATTATTAGACGCAAAGCCTGACATGACGACTCTCTCAAGAATAGAGATCCGATCGGTAACCAAAAATCGTTTGTCTCCACAGTGACTTACACAAGAGGGTGGGCATTAGGGCTGATGTGAACTGAGACGCAAGCCAGTGTGTTGGAGGTTCAGGGCCAGGGCCTCCCTGACGAGCAGGAGTCTGTCTACATGCACTCGCCACTGAGTCGTTGGATACGGGCACAGACAGTGGTCTCCATATACACAGTACAGTATGCCATTGCTTTGACTCTGAGCCAGATTGGCCACTGAAGCCCAAAGGCTTCTCCTTTTCCTATGAGATGTTACATCCTGCAGAAAATGTCCAACAGGCTGGCTGACTGATGAGGCTATGCCATGAGTTTGCCAAAGTCTGCTGCTCCTTATAAACTGAAAGACACGAACAGGTACAAGTAGAAGGAAGCTGTGACGAGAGGGCCAGAGGGTCACGTGATGGAGCCCAGACTGAATGCTGTGTGTCCTCCAGGAAGGCTGTGGTGAAAGCCTGAAAGGCGAGCCAAGCGTGGCGACATGCACCTGTAATCCCAGGACTCACGAGTATAGGCAGGGAGATTAGGAGTACAGGCCATGTCTGACTACATGCTAAGTTTTAGGCCTACCTGGGCTACTTATATAACTCTCCCAACAACAACAACAATAGTCAAGATAACTCTATGAATGCCCCCCCCAAGCCTGACTCAGAATTTACACTAAATAATAGGTAGCTATTATTCCTAAATAATACTATCCAAGGAAGAAGTGGAACCCTAGATGCCAAGATTCTCAGAAGTGACTAATTGTGACATTGAAAGTGACCATATAACCTAAAGGATGTTAGACTAAGTAGTTGATGGACACCTGACAATGGACAGCTCAGGTCAATGTCAATCAATCACAGGACCTACTGACTGCATACTGGCTGACACACAGAATAAAGCATATGGGAGCTTCTAGATGAACAACAAAGTTACCCTATCTGAACTAATACCCTGTCTAATTATATTTCTGGGCATTTACTAGGGTTGGAGATGAAGGTCTTTGAAGTGAGCTGGTTTTCTTAATAAACATCACACACCCAGTCTCCAGGGCTGGGTGTGGAGGGACAGTCTCCAGATGGGAGGTCAGATAGATCTCATGGCCTGACTCTGCTTCCCAGACAGGCCTTCCCTTTGTGGGTGATCCACCACTGCCACTACACAGCAGGGGACCTCCCAACTCTGTTTTTAAAAAGCTTTGATCCTCCATAGTCGGGAGTGATTTGAATTATAAGAGGAGTAGCTAGGAAGAAAAGTCCACATGGATGGAATGTTTGCTGAGCCTAGCCAAGCCCTTCACCTGCTTGGGGAATCCATCCTTGCAGCAAGCTGGGCTATAGCTTTCCACTGCCCCTATTTTACAGATTAAGAATTAGGTTTTCAGAAGCCAAGTACTTCATCCAAGGGCACAGAGACACAGAAGGACGGAGCCTGTCCTCTGTCTCTGACTGTCTTCCTCTGGCACCCTGCCAGTCTACAAAGGATGAAATGGGGAGTCCTGGAGAGTGGCGCAGAGGACACTGCTCAATTTACTGTCATCTTGTAAAGATGCCCTCTCAGTCAGGTCTGGAGAGATGGTTCAGTGGATAAGAGCACTTGTTCTTCAAACATGAGGATCTGAGTTCAAATGCCCAGTGTCCATGGAAAAAGCAGGGTGTGGCCACACACCCACCTCTAACCCCAGCATTATGGGAGATGGAGACAGGAGGATCATTGGAGCTTGCTGGCTGCCAACCTAGCTCCAGGCTCAGTGAGAGGCCCTGTCTCAAGGGAAGAAGGTAAAGAGAGACAGCACAGGGCACTCAACTTCCTCTAGCCTCGGCACACACGGGTTACACATGCCTATGCACACACATACACAGGCCACATGCATGTGTAACACACACACACAGTCTTTTCGTATCTCAGAGGATGAGCGATTATCAAGCCACAGTTACCACCGTCAAGCCTTTCTGGTTTTCCTGTCAGGGTTTTTTGGTGCTATTTTGGTCTTCAGGGGTCACACGGCAGCACCTGCAGATGCTGAGGACCAACCAAGATGCCCGTGATGTGCCTACTGAACACTACAGTCCACTTGGGTCTTGATGAGGTGTATTACAGTTACTCATGGCTCTCCACGCTCTATGTCTGGCCTGGCTGCTGTCCCATCTTCCAGTCAGAGCTCCCAGAAGCCAGCTGACTGATGCAGGGCATAGCAAATGCACAGCTGGAAGGCCCAGCCTTCTTCATCTCAGGAAACAGTCCGGGGAGCCTCACCCACCTGGAGAACACTTGGGCCACATCTTCTGAAGGACTCATTTCTGCTGTGTGGAAATGAGGTTCGTCTAACAAAAGGAGAACACAATGTTCCTGCATAGCCTTCATTCATTCATCCCTCAGGCACATCTCCTGCCCACCATGTGACCAGTGAGTGCCACACTAGGCATAGAAGTGGAGTATACACAGACAGCTACATGGTCGCCATATCTATGGAGCTTGTCACTTAGGCCAGGACTTCTCAACATTGACACAATAGTTGGGGTCAAGGGCTGTGATGCCTTAATTGGTAAAGTAATTGCCATGCAAACATGATGACTGGAGTTTGATCCCCGGAGCATACATTAAAAGGGGGTGGGGAACATGGTGGCAGTGCATGCTTTTAATCCCAGCTCTTTCGAGGCACGGGCAGGTGGAACTCTGTGATTTCTAGGCCAGTCTAGTCTACGTAGTGAGTCCAGACCAGCTAGAGGTACACAGTGAAACCCTGTCTCAAAAAAAAAAAAAAAAAAAAAAAAAGCTGGGCTCTGGTGTGTGTACTGGAAATTCCAATGCTGGGGAAGTAAAGACAAGGATTTGGGGGATCAGCAAACCTCAGGACCTGGTGAGAGACACTATCAAAGAACAAGATGGAGAACAGACAGCCCCTGAGAAATGGCACCTGAGATTGGCCACTGGCCTCCCTCTCCACACACACAGAGTATCTGGGGTCAGATGACCCCAGCCAGTTTGACTGGAGACTGTCTTGTTCATGGCAGCCTCATCATCCTCCCATTGGATGTCAATAGCACTTGTCCTCTTCAGATGAGCCTAGACGTCACCAAACAACCTGGGAAAGTGGGGTGCAGAGACACCGTCCTAGAGGGATGACATCAGAGGAGAAACAGGTACACATATAACAAAGCCAGCAAGAATTCCAACTAGGTGGTCAGGAATAGAGATAAGAAACCCGTGGGACCCCTCTTCCATAGTCACACAGGGCCCTGGCTTCCCCGTGGCTGACGCCAATGACAGAACGCCAAGAGAGTGTTCGTTTCTCTTTTATTTCAGCCTCAGACTGGAATTTTCGGCCCGGGCTGCAGCTTGGCCATTGAGAAGTCTACGAAAACAGATGCTTCAGATGCCTTAGAACTCAGTGAGAAGATGGTGTGTGCACGCGCTTGTGACGTCCCCTCCCTTTCCTTTCCTTTCTGCCCAGCACTGGTTCCCACATGTCATCACTATTGTTAACCACAGGGCCGTTTACTAAGTATCAACCTCTAAGCCATACTGAGTTCTAATAACTCAGCAAGACCCGGCTGCTACCCAGCATGGGTCAGGAATCGGCACATAGCCCAATCCCTTGAAAGCTCTGTCGTTAGAATGAGTGTTAATTTCTGTTATCATTTTCTACCCGTTCCGGAAAAGACTTACTGTACATAGCTGTGGGGAAAATGAAAGACCTAACTGCAGTCACTGCCAACATCCTCTTTTGCTTCCTACGGCTACAAAGAATGAGCTAGAATCAGACATCAGCCTCCCGATGGCCTCCATGTGGCCTCCGGTGTTGCTCTTACCAGCAACCCATCTCCTTGCAGTACATGGACATGATCAGGACACTGAGCAGCCTGATGAACATCAAGGACATGTCCGGCCATGTGAACTTGAGGCACCTCTCTCCCAAAGAGCGCGAGAGGATCAACCACCTCCGGCGGAAGGACCTGGGCCTGGTGTTTGATAAGATCACTCAGCTCAAGACCCAGCTTCAGAGGAAGGAAGAACTCCTGAGAGGATGTGAGCAGGAACTAGAACAGCTCAGGTACCACAGGTGTCCCCTGCCTCAGCACGGACAGCCACACACTGCTGGGCTGGGACAGGACAGAGGCCAGGATGCAGATTAAGTAAAAACACCCCATGGGGGAACATGACCTCCTGGAGCCTAGCATGCATGAAGTCATGGGTTCCATCCCAAGCAGTGCATAGAACTTGGCATGGTTGCTCACATCTATAATTCCAGCACTCAGGAGGTACAGGCAGGAGGATCAGGATTTCAAGGTCAACCTCTACTACACAGCAAGTTCAAAGCTAACCTGGGCAGTGTACAACCTTGTCTCAAAATGACAAAAGGCTGGAGATGGTTCTATAGGTAAAATACCTGTTCCACAAGGGTAAGAAGCTGAGTTTCAATCTCCAGAATCTCCATGAAAACAGTAGTAGGAGGGTCTAGGATTCTAGAGCTCCTACGGGAAGATGGGAGGCAGAAATGGGATTCACTGTTCTGGCATACAAAACAGGAAAACAACAGAGAGATCCCACCTTCAACAACATTAAAGGCAAGGATACATACCTGAGGTTACCCCTCTAGCCTCCATACATGCATGTCCACATTCACACAAATTGGTGTACACACACACACACACACACACACACACACACACACACACACACACGAACCTTGATTTAGCACTTGTGTGATTTTGAGGGTCCATCATTTCCCAAAGACTTGACAGGTCCCCACCCACACCCTAGAACATGGAAAGGCCAGTGGCACACACTGAGTCATCCAATGCTGTACATGCCCCATGTGTCCAGCTCTCTAGTCCCCAAGTCTTTGTTGCGGTCTCCTAAGTCAGCCCCACTTGGAAGGATCTAGAGAGGTTGGGGCCTTAATGGTGAGTGGGGACAGTGAGGGGGAAAGGGACTCTGTCTCTCCATGCACCCAGGCAGAGCAAAGTGTCCATTCAGATGTACCAGACGCAGGTGGCAAAGCTGGAGGATGATGTGTGCAAAGAAGCCGAAGAGAAGGCGCTGCTAAAGGAGGCTCTGGAGCGCACAGAGCAGCTGCTGTTCCAGGAGAAGAGGCTCAACAGGGCCTTCAAGCAGCAGAAGGTAAGCCAGTCAACTGGGAGTGGTGGCGCATGCCTTTAATCCCAGCACCTGGGAGGCAGAGGCTAAGAGATCTCTGTGAGTTTGAGGCCGGCCTGGTCTACAGAGTGAGTCCCAGGACAGCCAGGACTACACAGGAAACTCTGTCTCAAAAAACCAAAAAGAAACAATATAAGAATCCCAGGAAGACCCCTCAGTGCAGATGGTGGCAGAATGGCTTTTTTGGCCAAGAGACCTAGTCAGTATTGCCACTCTGCACTCTACCGCCTGCTCTGAGATCTTAAGCAGGTTTTTAACCTCAGATCCCCGGGGTCCATCTGTATTACTTTTGAATACATGTTTGTTTCATTGCCAGTATGTGCGTGGGTGTGCATGTGCTACAATACACATGTGGGGGTCAGGCACAGTTCTCAGGAATCATTTCTTTTCCCTCCACCATGTGGGACCTGGGCATCAAACTCAGGTTGTCTGTCAGCTTGACAGTAGTCGCCTTCACTCCTTGGGAGCCATCTTGGCAGCCACCTCAACTTGTGCTAAGACAGAACAGAACTCAGGCTTGGATAAGGCTGACAAGAAGAAATTAACCACTACCACCTTCCCTTCATGACCCTCCACAGGCCAGGCCCAGGGCTCAGTCTGCGCTTTGCAGGCATGGCCATTTACTAATGCCATTAAGGGGCCTTCCTGGTGATGGCCACGGTCCTGATCTTTTCCCCCAAATGAGGAAATGGAGTGTCAGTGGGTTGAGAGACCAGGGCTTGGGACAGAATGTAGCTCAGCTGGTTACCCAGGATTTGCAAAGCCCTGGGTCAGATTCCCAGCACTGTCTAAACTGTGTGTGGTGATGCCTGCCTGTGAGCCCAGCACTCAGGAGACAGAGATAGAAGAGTTAAGAGTGTATAGCCGAGTTTGGAACCCACCTGAGCCACATGAGATGAGACTCTGTAAAGAAGAAAAGTGAGAACAGAGAGTTGAGAGGTTCACACGGTAGCTGGTGAAGAGGATTGCACCATGGCCCCAGGTGTCTCCCTGATTCTTGTGCTGTGCGCTGGGCCTGCCCCCAGGACTCCCCTTGTACCTGTTATCTTTTTCAACTTTGGAGCTGTATGTTTATGTGTGTGTGCATGTATGTGCATGCACATGTATATACATGCATGTTTGCATGTATATGACTATGTGCATAAGTGTTCAAATACGCATGCCAATGGACATGCTTGCACATGTGTGTATATGTGTGACTAACAGTGTATGTATCTGTGTTGGCATAGGCGCACTCATGACTCTTCTGTGTACATCAACATGGATGTGACTCTGTGTGTGTGTGTGTGTGCGTGTGTGCATGCGCGCATGCAAGCTCTGAGGAGGCCCAGACATGAGAAAAGCTTCCCCTTCCAGGAAGCTCTCCTGAGAGGGCGTCATTGTAGAAGCCAACCCCACCCCAGCAATGAAGGCAGCCCCCATCATGGCTGTTCATACTCATCCCGCCTCTGCATGCGCATGCCATGGGCTACCTCAGGCTGAAGACAGGGGACTTTTGCACTAAAGCCACACCAGGGCAGCTGAAGGAATGACAGGAGGTAGGGCTTGCCAAGGTGCCCACTTCTTCCCAAGATGCCGTCTGAGATTTGGCAGTCAAGGTCCTCCAGAACAGACACAAACCATAGAACAGGACCTCAGAGGGCCCCCAACAGCCCATTGTGGTGTGCTGGCTGAAAATGTAAGGACCTGGGGATTTGCATAATCAGTGTCACATGCATTATTCACGAGCTGCCTCATTCATACACAATGCAGCCGTCCAGTCTGTTGGCACCAGACATCCTGCGTGGGGGAACTAAAATGGCTCAGTTGAACCTGCAGCAGGGGTCCCAGCAGAGCTAGGGCTGGGGCCTTGCAAATTCTCGAGTTTTACAGTGTGGAGAGATAGATGGAGCTGTACTGATAAATGTCATGCTCCGCCCAGGCTCATGCGTGCCTGCTGGCTGGGCATGCTTACTCTATACTGCACCTGCTGCATTCCACAGCTTGCAGAGGGCTCATCTTGGGCCAGCAGGCTCAGAGAACTGAGACTGGCAAGGGTCACAATGTTTGGCAGTCCAGTGACAGACACAGAACTCACATCAAGTCCTTTGCCTCACGATCCCGCTAACCTCTACACCCCCCTGACTGCCAGGGTACTGGGGTGTCATTCTAGGGCTCTGGTTTTCATATAATGCCTGTAACTCTACATATTGTCAGTGACTCTTGTTTGCTAAGGGAAAAGAAAGGATCTAAATCATCTCTCCATCCTAGGAGTGTATTTTCATTAAAATAAATAAATAAATAAAAGGAAGTGTGGTGGCAAACCCCTTTGACCCTAGCATTCAGGGGCAGGTTGATCCCTGAGAATCTGGGGGTGGGTCCTTAAAGGAAAATCAGTTTTTAAAATTTTTACATTTAATTTTTTTTCTCAAGGAAGCTTAACATTCTTGTAAGTCTCCATCACAAAGATGGACTGGTTGGGCCCCTGGAGAGGGAATTTTCCTGTCTGGAGCTTCAGAATCATACTCCTCCACGACAGACCAAGACACACACACACACACACACACACACACACACACACGCGCGCGCGCGCACGCACGCACGCACGCGCACACACACACACACCAATGTATTTTAATGTTTGAGCTCCTCTTCACAGCACAGAACTTTGCAGAATCAAAAGTCATGCCTCCAAACTAACACTCTTTCTTCTTGACTTCTCACTGATGTATATAAGCCTTGCGCGTGGCACTGGGTTATGGGAGGACACTCTGGTACACACGCATACTGCACATTGTGAACACACACTCACTCACTCTCTCCTATACTCCCTTTGCTCGACCCCAGGAGCACCTTTGGTCCCCTAGACCCCTACTCCAGTGTCATACACACATGCATAGTTCCAAGACCTGTGGAAGCACGCATGAGGGAGAACATTCACTACTGTCTGTACACTAATGTGATGAGACACTGAGAAAACTGTGGTGTGGACACACACAGAGCCTGGGACCTCAGAGCCTTCTCTGTGGGACAATAGGACTGTGACAATGCCCAGGCTGTGCTGCCCGGTCAGCTTTGGGAGTCAAACAACAGGGTCTGTGCCCACCTCGGAGACCCATGACTAGTAGGGGACCATCCCATGTTTCTGGCTTCTCAAAAGCGGCAGTGGCAAACAGGCCCGATTTGCAGGATCGTGGGGAGGGATACATGGCAGAATGCCAGCAGCACCCCAGAAAACGCAGTCCTGTGGGGAGAGAAAGGCAACTCCAGACGGTTGGGGCTGCTCCTGCCCCCTCCACTGAGAGCCCGGCAAAGCAAACCCCCGAGGCTTTTCCTGCTCCCATGGAGCTGGCAGTCCTTTTGTAAAGAGGTCTTTTCTATTGGTGAAGGCAGCTGGGGCCTCAGCCAAGAAAGAGCAGATACTTTCCGTGAATGGCTCAGATGGGAATTCTCAATAGAAAGCTTTTAAACACTCGGGAGCTGCCCTCTGAGAAGCCTGTGGGCCCTTTCCCGGCTCTGTCGGGGTTGGGAGTGTGAGAACAGCTGCTATCAGTGACTGGCTCTGGCCAGGGGAGAAAACTTCACTCCTTTCCAGGCCCCCAGGCTATCAAATCCCAGCCCAGGGGCTTGGATACTGCTTTCACGAGGTTCAGCCAGGCCAGAGCCCCCCCAGCCCCTCCCACGTAATTACCTTAGATTCCTTGTCTTCAGGATGTGAGTATAAACAGAGCATGGCCCACAGGGTTCCATTCAACTAGAGTGTGGGTATAGAGCCTGAGCAAGTAGAATGTCCAATGATTTCTCTTGTGGTCACCACCACCCTTACTCTGTTTAATTCACTGCCTTCTAAGATTGGCTTGGGCCCAGATATTGTCTAGATCCCCTTTGTCTCTGTCCCACTGTGGCCAAGGAGTAGAGGCCAATAGATGTTGGGCAGGTGAGATTGGCTTGTTAGGTAAAGGTACTTGAAGCCAAGCTTAGTTATATAAGTTCGAGTCCCAGGTCCCATAAAGCAGAAGGAGAGAACAGTCCCTTGAGTTGTTCTCTAGCCTCCACGTGAGCTCATGGCTAACACCGATGCTAAATAAATAAACTAATGTAATGGAAAAAAAAATTTCAAGAAGTCAGTAGATATACCGGATGGGGATGGATTGAGAGCCACAAGGGTGGGAGGCTGAAAAATAAAATATAGGTGAGTGGTACAGGGTATGGATGGGGAAAAAAGTGCCTAAGAGAAAGGGTTCCACCCTCCCACATGCCTCTTCTGAGAGTGCTGGGCAGTGGACCATAGCATCTCCCAGAAGCCCTCATAGGTATACCCCAGATTGGAACAGGAGGGACTAATTGCTCTCTCCCTCACCTCATATTTTCACTCAGGATCGAGTAGAGGACAAAGAGCAAAGAAACGCATCCTGCAGCTGTCCCTTCAAAGACAATGAGAGGCAGGTATGAAGAGGCAAGGTCAGGTAGATACATGCAAAGTCGCCGGTCCTTGCAAGGGTGAGAGCCCTGCAGCAATGAACAGCAGCCCACACTGCCCAGGGACCCTGACACCCTGCCCGTGCTCCCTCCCAGCCTCATCCTAGGACAAAGGACCTAGGAGACAGGCAAGTGTCTAACCCAAGGTCCCAAGGTGCAGGAAACCAGTGTACTGTTAGCTGCTGTGACAAAACATCTGGGACACTAAATGGCTTGGGGATTTGGAGACAAATCCATGAGAAAAGAAGAAAGAGTAGGGTATCCAGGACCTCCAACCTGAGGATGAAGGGTAAGGGGACACAAAGTAGGACCCTGACTATAGCGGCCCTCACACCTGCATCAGCTTCACACTTACTTCAGGCTTCCTGGCAGCCAGGAAATTTAGAGCCACCCAACTTGGTCCCTGGTTCACCCTGATCCCCAGATACAGTGCATGAGCTGTTCCCAGTGTCCTCAGAACCAAGGATCATCCAGCTGGGGGAGGGGGAGTCATGTGATATGATGTGACCACTGAGTCACATCCCATGAGTCCAACTCCCTGGCTCGCCCTTCAGAGCTCAGCTATTGGCCAGCTGGCCTTCATTCACAAGTGGACTCGGGAGCAGTGAGCTACGGTCCCTCAGCATCCTTGGGTCCCATGGAAGGGATGACTCTTGACACCCCCAAGCCCACATCCACCAGAGTAACTTTACTACATATATCTTACATGCTAACATAGTCATGGGACTTGAGTTGGGTAAAGGGTTCTGCTGCTGAAAGAGAAGAAAACAGGGGGAAAAGAAGACACATGAACAACCAACAGGTCAGTGTTAGAGTCCTTGCCTAGCGTAAAAAAGTCCTGGGCTCCGTCCCCAGTACTTTAAAAAAGGAAGGAAGGAAGGAAGGAAAGGAGGGAGGGAGGAAGAAAGAAAGGTTCCAAATTGCCACTTTATAATAATACATACTCTGGGTGGTGGTCATTATCCAAGCCTAGGCCCTGTAAGTCAGGTTTGTGCCGTGTGTGTGTGTGTGTGTGTGTGTGTGTGTGTGTGTGTGTGTGTGTGCGCGCGCGCGCACGCGCGCGCATGCACACACATGCGTCCGCACACTCACACACATGTACAACTGTCCTCGGAGGCCAGAAGGCATGGGATATCTTGGGGTTAGCGTTACAGGCAGTTGGTCCTAAGCCTGCAATGTGGATCCTGGGAACCAAATTCATGTCCCCTGAAGAGGAGCAACTGCTCCTACAGCCTTCTCTCCAGCCCCAACATGATAAATACTGAACAGCTGCAAGCTCAAGGCCTTCTAAGTACAAAATCCTAGAGGGCAACTGTCAGCTAAATTCAGCCCTCAGAGAGTTCTGGGGACAGATGTTTTGAGAGGATGGAAAGGACAGACAAGCATTCACTCTCCCTGTCCCAGAAGACAGCCCCACTCCCAACCCTCCATGGGATTGGTGGAAAGCCACTTGGGGTTGCCAGAATAGGAGGGGAAAAGCAAAGTAGAACCCCCAGTTACAGCTGAATTTCATGGGGGTTGTTGCTCTTCCTAGTGTTGGGGATAGAACCTGGGCCCCCTTGCCTGCTGGGAGCAAGCTCTATTACAGGGCCACACCCTCTGCCTTTTGAATTCAGATAAACAACCAGTAATTTAGTCCAAGCCTGTCCCAAACACTGGATGGAGATGTGTTTTCATAGACATGTGCTTCCATTATGAAGTTTGAACGGACTTGGGTACCGTTTTCTCCAGCAGTCCACCCAGGAGTATTGACTGCATGCCAGCCAAGTGCCAAGTGGGAGGCTCAGAAGTGACTGTCACAAATAGCTGCCTACAGGTGTGCTTCAGCTGGCTCATGGGATGTGTTCTGGTTTGAGGTTTTGGGGTGTTTGTTTGTTTGTATTTTAAAGTAATATCTCGATACGCTGGATCTCCAGTTTCTCTGAGACAAGAACACAAGGCCCATGGTCCATCTGCCACCTTGTTCCCAGCTCCTTAGGAAGGAACCAGGCTCCTGGTCCATACTCACCCAATCTCTCTTCCTTGTCTTTCATCCAGAGTTCTGAAGGCACGGGTCTTTGTGACCCACAGGTGTTCAGAGCTCTCTGGGAACTCCTCTACCTAACAGCCCCCTTGGGTTTACTTGCTGACATCTGAACAGGAAGCTGCAGCTCGCTCTGGTACCTGGGAATTACCCCTAAGTAGGGTCTGGAAGACCCCAGGGTCAACACTTCTGAATCCAGACTAGGGTGACAAAGACTTCTCAACAGACGATCCCCAGAGAGCTGAGCATTCACTGTGGTCTCCTTACCCCTGCAGCTTTGCCCCCTGAGAAGGGTCTGTGTTCTCTGGGAGAGCCCTCAGCCAACTAGCTAGAATCTAAGCAGAGATCCCTAAGCAGCTATGCAGGAGCCCTTGTACACCAAAAGCAGTGCCCCCTTACTGAAAGCCGATATGTCACTTCCTGCCCCCCCCCCAAATAAGCCCAACATTCCCAGTGAACATCATCTTAAAATAGATAAGAATGCATTCCTGTTTGACGTAAAAGGCAGTGTGGGTCTAAACTAAATGCTGTCACTGTTCTTTTTGTATTAAAGAGACGCATGTTTATAGAGATGGTCAAGAGCAAGATGCAGAGCTCAAGTCTCCAGGTGAGCCAGGAAGAGAGGAAATGGTTAGCGTTTGGTATCAGCACCACATCTCACTCACCTCTGGGGCAGGGGCTAACCTAGCCCACAGAGGACAGGCCTAAGGCTCAGAGGCCGGGGTGTCCCCAGCCACACAGGCCTCCATGGAGCCCAGTGCAGGTGGGACATATTCGGTGTTCCAGGCTGTAAACTTACCACGATTTGGGTAAGCATTTCTCTCAAATTCCGAGAGAATGCCATCTAAAATACTGTTTTTTTTTTTTTTTAAGAGATAAGACTTGGGACTGTGACATTTTAAATATACTAAACCATTGCAGTTGCAATTCAGCCCTTCCTGGAATTGCCCCAATCTGCATTCTGCCTTGCTGAAAGCAGAGGCGAGCTTCTGGAAGCCTGGGGTGAGACACACTTCCTCAGTCCATGAAAAGGGAGATAAATCTGTCTGCATTTCAGGGGTACAGATGAAGGCATAGCACCCCCCAACATGGCCTGGTCTGCCCAGCACCCACACACACACATACACACACAGACAGACAGACAGACAGACAGACAGACAACACACACACACACACACACACACACACACACACACACACACCTTGTTGCCCTCAACAGCCTCAGGAGATCTCTTGAGCTTCAGGGACCTCAACTCAGGCTAAACCAAGTTGCAGAGCACCAGTGATGAAAAGCATTTCAGGGCAGGCCAGTTTATAACACTGAATTGGAGAGTTTAGATTTTATTCCAGATATTTTCATATAGGCCTAAGCATGAGGGTTAGGTCAGGCATAGCCAAGTGTGGGTGTGGGCTCCTCCGGGGAGAGTCAAGACTCTCCCTGTTTTATGGCAGGCACATGGAGGGTTTGGTGGTCTTATCACTGGTTGGTCCCTGAGAGGCAAATGACAGGATTGCAGTTGATAAGGTTGAAGTCTAGCCTAGAGGGGCACAGGACGGGAGGCTTCTCTTGCTTTATGGGAGAGTCACAGGCAATGTCTGGGGAAAGCATCAGACCCACCCAGGGTCAGACACACTCAGGTTTCTAAGTCCTTTTCCATTCAATGTCTCTACATGAGACTAGACATGAGAGTCTACACAAGTGAGTCAGTAGCCTTTACAATAAGGGTTAACAGTGCTAGATCCCTGCTGCATTCCTGTGTCTCCACTGGTGAGCTACTTCAGATCTCAGATGAGAGGCTCCTGCCCCTCTCCTGTCCCCTTAATTTCTGTCTCTTGTGCCCAGAGTCCTTCCAAGGCTACATTATTCTAAAACATCAAAATTAACATTGGAAAAAAACATGTATTCTATATAAGGACCTATTTTGTTTTTTGTTTTTTTGTTTTTTTTTTTGTTGTTGTTGTTGTTGTTGTTTTTTGACAGGGTCTCACTGTATACCTTTGGCTGGCCTAGAACTCACTATGTATACCTGGCCTGACTATGTCTCTCAGTACAGAGGCATATGCCACCACGCTTGGTCATAAGGGAATTTTTTCTCTTTTTCAAGATAGGGTTTCTCTGTGTAACAACTCTGGCTGTCCTGGAACTCACTCTGTAGACCAGGTTGGCCTCAAACTCACAGAGATGTGCCTGCCTCTGCCTCCCGAGTGCTGGGATTAAAGGCATGCGCCACAACCACCTGGCCATAAGGGACATTCTTACAGACTGAAAGTCTCTTTTTCAATATCTTTATCCCAAAACTAGACAAAGGTAGATGTTGGGAGAACAGAGAGTGTCCTGGGGGTCCCTTAGATCTGAGGTCGCTTTGCCTGCTGTAAAGGGCAGGCTTGTCATTCATCCATAAACACAGGAGAGGCTCAGCTAGGTTTTGTCTGAGAACAGTCTTAGGATATAAGCAGACAAAGATGTCTAGGGGACCCAGATGTCACAGAAACACCGTGATCCTCTGATCAGGAGACCCAGGAATGTCAGGTATCCTCTGGGTTGCAGAGAATGGGACAACGTGTACTTCTGCTAGGAGTGATCTCATTCACCAGCCATGAAGGCATCGCCTCAAGGTTTGTGGTCTACAACTCAATGGTGCAGAAAGCTTTGCTCCAGGCTTCTTGCAAATTTTTGTTGGGTCCCCTCCCTAGCACATCTGGAATTCTGAGGGAGATAGAGTCAGCATGGCCTCCCGGAAAGAGACAGGGCCTGGCGAGGCTCTTACAGGCTTGTCCACTCATAGGTCCCTCCTGACAGCCTCAGAAGTGCCTCCACTTATCAAGGCCCCATGGCCTTGTCTCCTGCCCTCCAAAATGCCATAGGCTGGTTTTCTTTTCCCTTGCAGCCAACAGTCTTTTATCATTGTTTGTGGGCTGTGTGCCAAAGTAGACATTTTTCTAGTTTTCTATGTTCTAAAACACTTCCCAGAGACTTGCTGATTGCCTAGGCTGGGCTACTGCTGAGCATGGGATAGGAAACAAGACCACCATGTTCCAACCTGTGACAGACATGAGCTGAGAGCCTGGGATGTGGCAGGTTAGGGAAGGTGTGGAGGTTAATCATACATCCCCAAAGGGGCAACACTACCCCGAAGGGGGCAGACATGAATTCTTTATGTGTAAATCACATACACCAGACACAAACACACATGCATGCACGCACATACACATGTACCTGCACAGGTTGGGCATCCCGAGCTAAAGATCTAAAATACAAACTTCCTTAGCATTGACATGGATATATACATGTGTGCACATGCATAATATATATGCATACATGAATAACATACGTAACATTTTCATATACTTGAGAGGACTTAGGGAAAGACATCCAGTGTCAGCAAAGAATAATAATGAATGAAGGGTTCACAAGGGAACCAGGCCAGAACACTCATAAAAATCCTTGCCTTCCTGGCTTAGCCTTGGAACTATTTTTTTTTTTTAAGGAAATATAAGGGCTAATAATTACTTTGGTCAAAGTGCTGGGAAGACAAAGGTCAGTCGGCAGAGCTCCAGAGCCTCTTCCAAGGGGTCCCACCCAGTGTGAGGCCCCAGAGGTCTGTGGTGAGATGGCTAAAGGCACCCATGGCAGCTTGGGAAAGGCTTGGGCCTTGTGGTTTGCCAGAAGAAGCCAACCCAGAATATAATTTCTACCTGAGCAGCACCATTGCAGACTGGGTTCCGTCCCTTAGGGTGTGGTCTGTGATCCCAAGGATGTCGGTCTGAACACTGGGTGCTGTCTGTCTGGAGGCCATCTCAGGCTGGGCTCTGCCAGGGCTCCACCCCTTCCTGTTTGCACCAGTCAATCCAAAGTAGGCAGCTACCACCTCTAGCAAGGTCCATGGACACCTGCCTCCCTCTGCTCCTTCCTTTGACATGTCAAATAGATACCAAAAAGTCCCTTTTGTCCCCACTCTTGGCAGACATGGGGGTGGCACCACCCGGACCGCGGTCTGTATTTTTAATAAGCATCTTTCTGACTCGGGTGCCACAACTTGTTGGGGCAGTGACATTTGGGAACCATCTGCAGGTGGCAGTTTTATTGGAAATTCAGGTGAGAGAAGAGAGGGAAGAGAATCTTGGTTGCTGACTGGTTTCGTCCTCCCTGGGTGTCAAGGTCAACAGTGGCTGAGTGGCCTATTGCACCCCCTGTTTGTCAGGTCAATAGTGGTTGTGTAGCCTGCTGTACTACAGGCTTTCCTCCCCTGAACGGGTTCTGAATTCAGGCTTTCACAACATATTCAAGGGCCTACATGGTAGGTAGAACATGTCTGTAATCCCAGCACTTGGGAGGTACAAGCAGGAGGATCAGGAATTCAAGGCTAGCCTGGGCTATCTCACAATTTCAAGGCAAGCCTAGACTACATAAGATCCTGTCTTTGGAAAACAAAACCAGGGGCTGGAGAGTTGACTCGGTGGTGAAGAGCACTTGCCGCTCTTGCAGAACTTTGGGCTCAATTCTCAACACCCACGCAGTGGCTCACAACTACCTGTGACTCCAGTCCCAGGACATCCAGCACCCTCTTCTGACCTTAGCAGGCATTAGGCATGCATGAGGTATACATACGTCCTTAGAAGCAAAACACTCATACACATAGAATAATATAATTATTTAAAAACAAAACAAATGTTTAAGGCTCCCATCTGCCACTGGTCTGGGCCTTCTGAGGCTGATTTCAAAGCTGTCCTAAACACAAAGTGATCAAGAGATAGACTGGAGAAATACCGCCACATGTTAGGGCACTTGATACCAAGCCTCGTGACCTGACTTTAGTCCCCAGTACTCACAAGGTAGAGACTCCTGCAAGTTGTACTTGACTACATGCATGGCATGCCCACATATGCACATACATGTAAACGCATGCACACACATGTATATACATGCATGCACACCCAAATAAATAAAATGTAGTAAAATAAATTAATAAACCTTTCCAGGATGACTCCACAAGTCTCTGAGGAAGACAGGCCCACAGCCTGGTCATCATCTGACAGAGTCTATGGTGGGGGTGGGTCTGTATAGTGGCAGCTGGAACTCACTATATCAACCAGCTCTTTGCCTTGGGTGTATGTGTATACTGTCTGGAGTCAAATATGTGTAGGAAACAGCGAGAAGCATGCATCCTGTTAGATAGGCACTCAAAAGGCTAAGGTATCTACAGAATACAGAGGGCCATGTGCAAGAGGGCTTCTGGAACTGTGGTCACCTGCCCACAAAGGGGAGATATGTAGATAGAAGCAGAGATGGATGTCCTGTAAAAGCCAAAAAGAAAGGACTGGTTGCTGTTTTCATGCGCGTGCGCATGCGCCCGTGAGCACACACACACACACACACACACACACACACACACACTGTCCACTATCACTCTGCAGGCCTCTTCCCAGTCATGTGACAGGAAGCAAGTGAATGACAACTCAGCCCACAAACCCCAGTCCTTGGAGACATCATCATCCAAAAAGCCTAGCTGTGACCTGAGAGCAGCCTCAGGCCTGGGCTACCGTGGTGTTCCCTGCAGAAGGAATGAGAAGGGACTCAGAAAGGAGTGAGGGCCTCCTAAAGAGTCTGCCATGTTCTCTTACCAAGCCATCAGAGCCATGGGGCACCTGCAGCGCTGTGACAGCTCAGCAGGAGAAAGCCCACCCCGAGGAGTAGGAGACTCCACCCCAGGAGCGGCTCCTATGGCACAGCTTCCATTTTCAGGCACACCATATAAACTGAAGAGGGGGAAAACAGACCACGCACTGCAAAGACGTATCCTAGCATGAAGGTTCCCTTGGGGGGGGGGCATGGCAACCAATGCACCCCCTTATTCACATCTGCTGTGTGCACCATATTTTACTTTATTTCACAAACAAAACTGCACAGGGCTCTGTAACTGATGGCTCGTCGGTTGAGAACGTGTACCCCTCTTGCAGAGGATTGGAGTTTGATTCCCAGCACCCATGTCAGGCAGCTCACAAATGCCTGTAGCTCCAGCTCCAGGGGCAATCTGCTGCCTCTGTACTCCTCAGGCACCTGCACATGCATACATGTACGCATACACATACAGACACACACAAACACATGATTAAAAATAAATCTGTTTTTAAAAATGCATAGTCCATTTGGGGCCCTGACTGTATTGATAAATGCTGTGTATTTGTCCATTTTGTTCACTGAAGGTTGGAGCCAAGAAAGTCACCCTGAAGATGGGCCAGGAAAAAGAGATGAAGAAGGAGGCATGCAAGTCTAGCCAGTGTCTTTCATTTGTTAAGTTGGGCGGAAAGAACTAGAAAACACACTGTCCCAGGGCCTCACATCCTGATCGAGTCAGTTTCATTCTAGTAACCATGGGACTTTTATAGCACTTTAAGATGGTTGCTGGGATGTTTGCTTTCTAGATTGATATTTTTCACAGAATGCATTTTGCAGTGTGTGGAGAGAGGATTAAAAAAAAAGAATATCTATAAATGTATATACATGCAGGTATATGAAGAATATGTGTATAACCCAGATTCCTAGCCTTCTGGATACAGTTGTGTGGTTCACATTTGGGTTATGATGTACCCAAGCATCAGCTCCTCCAACTAGAGCCACAGGGCAAAGGGGACACTTGGGGCACTTGCCTACAGGGTAATGAATTTATATCTGAGTTTGTAACAATAAATTTAGAATGCCAACCAACTCCATCGCTCCTGTCATCCTGACTGACATTTCTACAGCACTTTGCAGCTCTCAAACCACTTCTCAGTCTTACCCTTTCCCCAAACCCCTCATTCGTCCATTTCACAGACCAGGATGTCAAGCCCCCGAGAGGTTGGGGCCTGCCTCCAGTCACTCAGCTGGGTCAGAAGCCGGGTTTCTAATTCTGTCACAATGTCCACAATGCTGGGCTGAGTGACCCTAGTCTTCCCAGTCTCTGGCTATAGGACAGACCAAGGACTCAGTCACAAAGAACATGCACTGTTTCCACAGTGTTGAGACTCCCATTTCTTCTCTGGTACCCTGCCTTCTGTCTACCCACCTGACCTCTCATCGGTCATTCTTTCTTGGCCTTGCAGCCAGCCACACCCAGGTGGAGAAGGAGCCAAAAGGGCACAAAATAGATTGTTTTTTGTTGTGGTGGTTTGTTATTTTCAAAAGCCACAATAAAAATATTTTCATATCCTGTTCTAGTTTCATTTCTGATGCTATGATAAAATACCTGGACAAAAAAGCAACTTAGGGGAGAAAGGGGTTTGTTTCAACTCATTTTGTGAGTGTCAAGGCAGGAACCTCAAGCAGCTCGTCACGTCACAACTGCAGTCACGAGCAGAGAAAAGAGTGTATGCATGCTTGTTGCTTGTACTCAGCTCCATTTCTTCACTCTCATACTGCTCAAGTACCCCTTGCCTAGGGAATGGTGCCACCCACTGTAGGCTGGGTCTTCTCACACCAACTGACTTAATTAAGGCAATGCCCTGTAACTATGCCCACAGACCAAATCAAAGTAGACTGAGCCTCCTTGAGACCCTCTTCCCAGGTGACTCTAGGTGGTGTCAAATTGACAATTGAAGCTAACATCATGTATTCTAAAACCAAATGTATTCTACTTGTTAAAACCTTGGGGAATGCAGGAGAAACTCTTTATGTGGTACTCTATGACAGGTATATCCAAAACCAGAAAGGTGAATTTTACTTGACCTTAAAAATGCTCCTGAAGAGCTGGAGAGTGGTGAAGAGCACTGGCAGCTTTTTAGACAACCCAGGTTTTGTTCCCAGCACTGGCAAGCCAACTCATAGCCATCTGTAACTCCAGCTCCAATAGGTCTGACGCCACAATGCACATAAGCAACAAGCAACAACATAACAATTTTTTTTTTAATTAAAGAAAGGCTTTTTTGAAAAGCTCTTTTGAAAAGCTCAAAAACATTTTTTTGTGAAGAACCTGAGCTGAACCATGCCTGTAGTCCCAGCACTCCAGAGTCAGGGGGAGAGGGGGCAGGAATTCAAGGGTATCCCCAAGTACATAGCAAGTCTGAGGACAGCCAACTTGAGAGTCTATCTCAAAACGGGAAGGCTGAGGAGATGGATCATTGCTCAAGCATGAGGACCTGAGTTCAAATCCCCAGTCCCCGTGTAAAAAACCAGGTGTGTCTGTGTACTCTCCTGCAACCACAATGATCTGAGCAGACAGAGACAGGAGAATTGCTAGGGCTTTGACGGCCACCAGCTCTGAGAGGCCCCATCTTAGTGGAATAAGGTGAAAAGTAATAGAGTGAGCTACCAACCACCTTCTCTGGCTTCCTCATGAATGTATACACAAGTGATCACATCCACACACATATGCACGCATCAAATACACACACACACACACACACACGTGCACACAAGAGCACACACACACACATACACCAGAAATGAATAATTTTACTGGCCCTTGTCCTCCAACTCCCAAACAGCAAGTTTTCATCCAAAAACCAATACAGATCACTGAGTTAAGCTGCAGCCAGAGCCACTGGTGCATGTTCGAGAACCAAAACATGTAAACACATACAGTTTCTCTGTCGTACATGTGCATACACTTGTTGTACATTTTCGTGTGTTGAATGTATGCCTGTGGGAATCTATTGGAGTTCAGCTTATTCAAGGGTCATATGAGCCAGGATGATGGCACATGTGTATGATCCCAGCACTCAGGAGGCAGGTGCAGGATAATTGCAAGAATAAAGTCAAGCCTAGGTTACATAGTAAGTTCAAGGCCAGTATGAATTATATAGGCAGACCTTGCCTCAAAAAAAAAAAAAAAAAAAAAAAAAGAAAGAAAGGAAGGAAGGAAGGAAGCAAAGAAAAAGGTTGTGTAGTCACTGAGATGTGGCTCTGTAGTAGAGAGATTGACAAGCATGGACAAGACACTAGGCTCCTTCCCCAGCACCACAAAGAGAAAGAAAGAAATGAGGGTGGGAAGGAGGGAGGGAGAGAAGAGGGAGGGATGGGAAAGGGAGGAAGGGTGGAGGAGAGACATAGTAATATTTCTTTTCTCACCTTTACTATGACCTCACTTCCTGACACCTGCCTTCCCTGGGGCAGAAACCCACATCAGACTTGCATCATCAACAGTAGCAGACTTGTTACAACCAATCTGACTCCCAGTTCAACAGTAGCAGACTGGTTATAACCATCTGACTCCCTCCCAGTTCAAGCTGGGCCCTTCTGTCCCCTGTCCTTGGTGTTTGGAAATGGACACTGAGATGCCATTCCAGGCATCGGTGAGTTACAGATGAATGGTGATGCAATCCCACGACCAGGGCACCAGGCTCCCACTTACATCAGAGAAAGAAAGAGCTGATCCTCTGGAAGGGAAGGCCAGAAGATGTATATAGAGAGAGGCAAGAAGCTCCAGAAGCTCAGAGAGGTAGCATGGGGACAGTACAAAGAGAAGCCACTCAGGAGCAGCTTAGTCACTGTGTGGTCATTTCCTTCCTCTGCAATACAGCTAAAAGCTAAATGTCTTGGTCCTCCCTTGCAGCTAGAATGTACTATACAGAGTTGGACATTGACACAGACATCAGAGTCCTGGGAAGGCTTTGCTTCTGAAGCAGAAGGAAAAAGCTGCCTTTCACTGACAATAGAGTAGAAAGTCTGTTGGGGCCTGGTGGCACCTGTGAGCTCGAAGCCATGACTGGACTGCCTATCTCTGGACTTTGCTTGTGCCCACACATTAGAGCCAATGTATTCAAGCGTGTGTCTGCTCCAGAACAAACCACCCAAAACTTGGCCGCATAAAATGACAAATATTTAGTCTCATGATTGCACAGGTCAAGGTAAACCAAAGTTCTGCTGTCTGCCCTGGATGATTACGGGTGGCCTTGTTTACATGTCTGGTTCCTGACAGATCAGTGGGTCCATCGGGGTAGTGGTTCTTAACCACGAGTGAAGGTTCTTAACCACCAGTGAAGCCACTAATCAGGCAGTGGGTGGAGGCTGAGGCTGCCAAATGTCCCATCCCTCACAGAACCATCCACCAGTGCGGAGAAACACGTCATTCTCAATGAAGAGTGAGATTGTGAAACTCGATCTAGGGAGGCCATGGCTGGGCTTGTTGCAGCTCAGAGGCCCAACAAGGCTCACTTCTGTGGTGGTGGCCACAGGTTCCATAACCCAGCTGTTGAGAGCAATTCCCCATGCGTGCCTCTGTAGTCTCTCCCTGCCTCGTGTTTGTTAATCTTCCAGTAGACAAAGCCAGAGTCAGTGCAGGAGGAGTTCGAAATCTTCCCAATCCTCCCACACTTTGTTTTTGGTATTTGAACGTGTCCAGCTGACATCAGGAGAAAGCCACCTTGCTTTCCGGTTGGTCACTCAGTTCTAGTTCCTTCCCTTCTAAGGGCAGATGGCCCTAAGGTCTGCCTTTGCCTTCTGCCGGGGCCAGATGCCTGGGTTCTGTTGGGTAAAGTCCTCTCTGTGCTAGAGTGAGGATCTGAAGTCCATCCCCAGAACCCCAAAAAAGCAGGATGTGTACTTCTAAGCCTAGTACTACGGGGGTGGGTGGACACAGGCAGATCCTTCATGCTCCCAGCCAGCCAGCCAGGATAGCCCAATCAGTATTCCAGGACCCAGTGAGTTCTTGTCTCAAGACACAAGAGAGAAGGACACCTGAGGACTTGTACCTGAGGTTGAAAACTGACCTCCACACATACACACACGCACACGTGCACACACGCACTATTCCTTAGCTGCACATAGGAGAAACTCAGGAAGGTAGTTATTTAAAGGAGTGGGGGATGAGAGCTAGAGAATGGAATAGAAAGTCAGCCACATAGAAGCAGAGGTTTGGACAGCCCAGAACTGGCTTTTCTTCCCCGTATACACACTAGTGGCTCTGAGGCACACCAGCAACGTGACCTTGGATATGTGAGTGGGTGGGCTATGCCTACCTAAACAAGCCACCTTCAGCTCCTCCTGCCTCTTCCCCGGCTCCCCCAAGAAGCTACGGCACACATCTTCTGCCTTGTGGCCGCAGCCCGTGTGGAAGCTCAGAATCGTGACTCGGCAGCGAAGGTGCCTTCTCTCACAACTTGGCAGCATCACCAGTGTCTGCTGCTGCAGAAGCCAGAGTCATGAGATGTCTGGGTGGGAAAAAATAGCTTCTGGATCTTTATCCCGTTCTCCCCATAGGAACGGTGGCTTCCGATTTGGGGGGGGTACTTAGAGGGGAAACAATATGGTCAGGATCCGAAAACCTGGGAATGTTAATCATGGTCCTCTTTCTCCTGCACGGGGTCTCCTGAGCAGGAGACGAGGGTGAACTATTTCAGCTTATCAAGCTGGCCTGGTTTCCATCAAGATACGCTGCTTGCATCCCTCCTCTCAGTGTCTCCAGTTATTTTGGGCCAACTCATGACCTTATGTAGCCAGCTGTTTTTTTTTTTTTTTTTTTTTTTTTTAACATTTTTTATTTGCCCATCTGTTCCCAAGAATCCATGGCCATGCAGGTTGTTTGTTTCTGAGTTTCATCTCACTTTTAGCATAAACAGCTTCCCTCCCTAAGACCCCAGGATTTAGGAGCAGAAATCTTACACTCTGTCCATCTGGGGTCTTATCAGAGAATCGAGTTCCCTTTGACTGGTAAGTCACCTTTTCAGGGAAACAATTAGCCTTCACTAAGGCAACAGATCC